CAACTGGATGCACATAAGGCCAAAAGACTGAGAAGGGAGAGGAGATGTGAACATTACTGCATGTAGACAGAGATTCACTGGAATTCAACACATCTTTTCTTCATTAGAGAGTTTAAATGCAGAGTATGATGGAAAACATGGGGAGAAAAACTACTACTGCATTTTACATACACTGGCTCCGTCCATGACCAGGAGTGTGTGCCCTGCTGCCATGCGAGCGTGTGTGTGCAGAGCAGTGTAAGCACAGAGGCCATCACGCAGTGCTCCTGCCACACACACCGAGCTGAGCTTCTCTGGCTTCTGAACTGGAGAACATAAACAGAAACACACATGTATTGGATCAGTTGGATCAGTTTAAGGATTTCATCATGCCTTAATGATGTCAGAATCTCTAGCTTTGAAGAAAGCTGATTGATATGTGTATAAAATCAGAGTAAGTAATCAGTTTTAAGTGCTGAACTCCAGCATATTCATGCCCTCTCTCTCTCTCTTCTTGTACAGGGCTTCAAAATGAAGTCAGACAAACTACAGGTGGAAGCAGGTCTGGTGGTCTTTGCACTAAAGGTGCTTCTACACAGTTCTGCTTCTTTCAATCTACCAGTACCATTTCTAAGTACATGCAGTGCAGATCAAAGGCTGACAGAAACAGCCACATCAGAAAACCACAGTGCCTGTTTTACAGCAGCGTGAGAACAGTTTGACCTTTTAGATGAAGGGGGGTGTGACCTGGAATGCCTTTTATGTGAGCTGACTGGTCACAAGATGAAAATAGAAAAGGTGCTGACTTTAATCAGAAAAAAGTCAGTCAGTGCTGGTTGACTGTGTTGTGAGAATTTGTATTTTATGCTGGTTGCACAAGCACAGTGTGTGTACATGTGTGTGTGTGTACATGTGTGTGTGTGTGTGTGTGTGTGTGTGTGTACAATATGCTACCTAATAAGTGTTCATCTATGTCAATGACATCACAGAGGCCAGAGCAGGGAGAGTCCAGGGGCAAAATACCTAGAGAGGGAAGTTTGATGAGTGACAGAAGGATACAATAATAATATAAAATAATAAAATACAATCCGCTTAAAGCAAGGACAAGAAGCTTTCATTTTGTCTTGATTGTGGCAGCCTCTGTTGATAAAAGCAGTAGTTTCCATGAGCACCACTTCCTCGTGTCGTAAAGATCTTGTTCTGGCAGAGCATGCACATCCCACAGTACATTTTATGAATAAAACAGACAAATTAAACACGTCTATGAGGAAGAGAGCCACTTTAGGATCAGTTTGAATCCTTTTAAATCCAGCAATTCTCTCCATCTGTTGAATGAGCGACCGAGGTTAACTTATAGCTTCTTCCATATAGCTTCTTTTTTTTTGCTCTTGAAAATCCTTCCCTAGTTACAGCCATAATCACGAAATATTACGTCAAAAACAATATTATCTTGAGAAAAATGCAGTCCTGCTTCCTTGTAAGTGGCTAACATAATACTCACTGCCAAACTTTGCTTCGGAAAATTAAAACATAAACTCTTCCGGTCTGCATACTATAAATCATTTGCTTATGTAGGTTATACAGAGGCATCAGTATTCAATTAAGACTTTTTCAAACCAATTAAAAACTCATTGTAGCTGCTTTAAGATATATTGTGCATGTTATGAGTAAAGGCAATACGGACATCAATAATACCGCGATTACACAAATGTTACAATATTAAACATTAAAAAAGTTGAACTGATATTTTATTGAGTCAAGAGGGCTTTTTGGTTTACTAGAATAAAATCTAACAATGTTACAGATTTTAGTAAAATCATCCTTTACTTAGACGGGAGCTGGAAATAACAATATCTGGAATTAAAAATGTTTCACACAGTACAATAATATGAAGAGGAAATACATGATAACATCAGCTCTAGTCATTGTTGTTGAGTAGTTATCAGACATTAGAAATATATCTGACAACAAAAAACAACCCTATTTCCTGTCATGCTCTCCATTGTCCGCACAGTTATCACCATGCTCTATCTTTCACCCACAACCACTGTCAGAGTCAGAAGGCAGCTCGTAGATCAGATAAATAACAAAACCCTACCTACAACCTCGTCCTCTGGCTGGAAGAAAGAGACCTTATCGCCCACTGCAGGAAAAAACAGAAATGAATTTAAGTGGTGCTGACAAAAGGTCTATGGAGGCACTCAGTGCTAATCACATGTATTCATTTTCAACAATCATGTAGCTGTTTGTGTGTTTGCAACCTTGCAGGACGACCCCGGCCACCTCTCTGCCAACAGGAATTAATTCTCTCTGGATCCCCACGTCATCGAGCAGCTGGAGGGAACACAGGATGGATGAGCAGAGAGAGGAGGAATAATCAGTTATCACTATGAAACAATACCACAGTTCCAAACAGCCTGTGAGCTGTACGCCATAGGTAAGGGTGTAACATGTAAGTTACAACAGATCAGTGTCGGCTGGAAGCTGGACGTATGGACCCATGCTGCATGTGGACTACACAAGATGAAGATTTTGATTTGAATTGATTTGAACCATTACAATATTTAATCATGCACTTAAAGTTGCATCTGGATCATCTTCATTTTTGGTTTATTTTAAAAGAAGAAGAAGAAAAGATACTTTATTGATACCTGAAGGAGTTTTTTTTCTCTCTCTGTTGTCATACACACGGGACCAAAATACACACATATGGGCAAACAGGACCTACACATGCATTTAATGGAGAGATGTCAGAGCGAGGCTGATTTGGACAGGCACCCCACGCAGCTGGGGGTACAGAGCTGTGCTAAAGGGAGCCTCAGTGATGCCCAGGAGGTGACCTGGCACCTTTCCACCTACCAGTCCACACTGCATGCTTGGACCGTACAGGGAGTTGAGCCGACAACCCTCCAGTTCCCAAGCCAAGTCCCTATAGATTGAGCTACTGCCCCAAAATATGAATCAGTCTTCTATTAAACTATTTATTGCTGGTTTGATGGCTCTCTTTGTGACTGCTGAATGCTTTATTGTAAATAAGGCTTTGTATGAAATTTCATGATTGCAAGAAGTATATAAAGTGATCAATTCATAGGTGAATTAAGTTTCCATTTGGTCTTGAATTGAAGCTCTCAGTTCTGCTATCTGATCAGTTTCTAACCAGGCAGCAGTCACATCTTTGATTTAAGTACCTTGAGGTCGAGCGGGCTGAGTCCACAGGCCTTCACCTGAACTCTGACCAGATGGTTGCCTAAAACCTCTGGAAGACTCTGGAGGGAAACAAATAGACACAAATGCAAACAGACACAGAGAAACAGTGCTTTAAACCATTGTACATTATAATCACGTGAGGTGCACACACCAAGGTCTCTATAGTTTAGATGCAGAGAAAGACAGATTGTAAGGCAGACATAATGGATGCATTTGATGGCTGTCAGTATGCTGGACAAATGTCATCTCAGCAGCACAGTGATGTCTGCAGGTGGAGCAACAGTTTCACACATGCAAAGTAGTTTCCTTTGCTTCTCCTGATCTGAGGCTTTAGTGTATAATGCCGTTGAATATGACTCCTAATTTCAGACTTCAGACAGCATCATCAGCATCCACCTACACAGTCAAACCCCTAAAAATGAAACACAAACTCACCGTTTCCTGAATAACGAACTTGGGCTCAGCATCACTCACTCCAGCTCGGCAGTATAAACCTTTCATACTGTTACACCTTTAATTTATGCAGCTGCAGGGTCGCAAAATATTAAAACCTGCTCGACAATAATCTATTCATATAGCAGTTGTTTATTTCCTTCTGTAGAATATGTTGTAGCTTTCCAGTTTAGACAAAACTGACAAGCTCCAGTCAGCTGACCTCTTCTTCTTCTTCGTTGTTTACAATGTTTGCTTGAGGAATTAAAACTCCTCACAACAGCGCCCTCTACTGGACGTTATATTCTACCAAATCTTAAAAGTACTCTCAAAGTGACAGTACAAAAATCACTTGCCTTGGAAAAACTAAAGGTAGATTCGAATAAAAATGTAACCACCATTTATCAACATTTCTTTCAGTCACACTTAGAAATCAGCTCAGCTTTGTATGCAGCTATAATATTTGGAATAATGTGCAATCTATCATGTCACTCACAGTTTCTATATCATGTACACCATGGCCCACTGTGATCCTTCACATGGATCACGCAAAAGGTCTGCAAAAGCCTTAATGTCTGCATATAGGCCTATTTTGTTTTAATCTTTATCTTTTTCCTGTATTTTTTTAAATTATATTATCAGTAGGCTAAAATCTTGAAGTACTTGTATATCCTATTTGAACGCTTTCCATTTGTTTATCTATTTATAACAAGAACAGGCCATTTTAGGCTTATATGTTCCAAACTCTGGATGCATGACATTCTTCTAGGCTTACCTTTTAAAATTTACATGATAGCTATGTTGGCCAAATTGCATACAGGAGTTTCTACTCTTAATCCTGATCCTATTTGGTTTCAGTTAAGATAAAGGTTATTTCTTAAATATAAATATATAACGGGGGATTTTACCTGTTCTTTCCCTTGTTCAATTGTGATATTTTATTTCATTTTATTTTATTTTATTTTATTTTTATTTATTTATTTTTTATTCATGTTTTTATTTACTTTTGTGTTTTAGAAGCAAGCAGCATCAGGCTGAACCTTGGATGGCTTTACTGTATTTTTCCTAGCTTCAAGATTTTACCATTCTGATAGACGTGCATGTTTTGTTTTTTTTTTTTTATTTCTAAGTGAGTAAAGCACACCCAGTGGTGCAAATTTACGACTCTGTTTACATTTATCTTATTTTATTTCATTTTTTTTAATTTCATTCTATTTTTTTATTTTTATTTTTTTTTAAATTATTTGTATGAATATATTCACAGAAAAAAATGTGATATTTTTCTAATCAACAGCAGCCGGCAGGAGCGCAACTAATCCCTTTACTTCACCGCGTCCCTGAGGCTAGGGGCAAGCCAACGGCTCGCAAAGTCTCGCGAGGTTAGGTCGACATCCTTATGTTAACTATCACGTATCGCGATATGTCAGAAGCGTTACCCCATTTTCCAGCTGTACCTCAGTCGGTCGGGATTTCGGAACCACGGGAGAATCACCGGAAAGGGTTTTGGTGATAAAACAGCACATTTTGGAAGGAGATACCGCATTATATGGTTACATAAACACGCAACGAGCTACTTTATCCGGTATTTCACGATGGAAACTGAACTATGAGGTAAGGGCAGAGTGTAGTATGTGTGGTGTGGAAGAATGTCCCTGAGCGGGCTGACGTTAGCTTCTCACTGGTTAGCTTACTTGCTAGCTGCAGTGATACTGTATAGACGTTAGCGCGGCTAGTTGGTCTTTTTTACCCGGTGTAGCTTGCTAATGTCAACCTTCAGCTGTGATATTAACCTGTTTAGAAGGTGTCTGATATTGGGTTGTAAAACAAGACCAGAGCGACAAAAATAAGAAGACGATGCCATCCAGCTGCTACTAACAGTTAGCTAGTTTGCTAACGTTAAATCACTGCATCTACACTGCCAGCCTGTGACCTAACGTTAACATTAACGGGTGTTACTTGAGGTTAACCTTAGCTTTGCTAGTAGCCGGGTCAGTTGAGAGAAAAATGATGAATCAACAAGGTTGCCGACAGTGCTGGGGCAGGCAGTGACTTTCATGGGTGGAGGTTTTCTCTGTTAGCCTAGCATTTGCTAACGTTAAACCTGATGTTGGTCACAGCTGGCCATCTGGCTAACTGTCCAGTCATAACAGCCCTCTGTGTATTTTGTTACTGTATCTGCTAAGCATGCTTTGGGTCGTTGGGCGAAGCACGTTAACATAGACGAGTCCGCGGAAATAATGCAGGAAGTGAAGATAAACTAACAAACCTCTTACAATAAACGCTGTTTCCAGAAAAGTAAACACAGTCATCCTTCATTAATTGATATGTAACATCAGCGTTTTATTGACCTTGATTGGCTTACCAAGCTGGATCAGCTAGAACTAGTTTCTATGGTAACGCGGATGCTGACAGATCCTCCTAAAGGTGGGAGACTTGCAGATGAAAGCACCATGTCCAAAATTTTGACTACCATGTGGATTAAAATACTCAATGATGCTTTGATCCAGCATAATTATTGATTCCTATCTATGTCTTATGTACTTTGAAAACTTGGTTGTAAAGGGCAAAGACACATTTGCCTGCAGTGTCCGTTTGTTGTTTGTCATGAGCACCTCCTGTGGATAACACACCCACCCCTGCTAACAATAGCAGGTGTTCTGCAGGAGACTGGCAAAATGCAGCGTTGCTGACCCACCCTTCATTCTGCAAAGGGTTTGCCTAGATTAGAGCTGAAACAATTCACTGATTAATCAATTAGTCAGTGGAGGGGAAATTAATTTGCATCAATTTCATAAGGGATTAATGGCTTCAGTTGTTTAATCAAGCAAAAGTTGCAACCATTCTGTGACTGAACAATCTTAAATGTCAACATTAAATGCTTTTGTTTTCTATAATTTTGAAAAGAATTTCTTGGTATCTACAGGCATTTTTTTACATTTATATCAGTTTGATTTTTCCAACAGACCAATACCAGTCAGAAGTTTGCAGGGTAGTCTAAAGTTTCATCAAAAGTTGTGGTTATAAATTATCATTATCAGATAATTACCAGTGACAATAATTTGCACCATTTCTGTAATACTGACTAAAGGAGATAGAATAGGTCATAACGTTTATGTGTGGGGTGCATTACCATGATTTTGGATATAGGTAGGAGCTGGGCAGTGTGTGCGATCTGTGATTTGTACGTGGTCTTCTCTATGTGCCTTGCAGCCTCGTCAACTTTTATTGCTTCACAGATTCTACTTAATTTATATGAAGAGTTGTATAGGTGGAAGAACTTATGAAGTTTGCAATGTAAGTGTGTGACAAATCTCATACATCATCTTATGTTCATATAGCTCAGTTAGAGGTACACATCTGGCACTGTTTGTATATTTCATGCTTACAGGAAAACACACCAATTTCATTAATTAAGCTTTTAATTTCTCTTATGAGTGATGTTTTATGTCTCAGAGTTCCTGGTTTGCTGAGAAATCCACATTTCTAACATTATCACCCACAGTCGTATTTAGAAAGTTCAAAAGTTTACCTGTGAGCACTAAACTTTTCAGCAGAGTTCAGCTGTGTTCAGGATGGTGCCTTTGTGTTCTAGCTTCAAACAACGTATAAATCACAGCCACATAATACAATTCATTATCCCAGGACTGTATTCAGCATAGTGTTTCTTTCATTTAAGTCCAACAGCTTCAAAGGACAGAATTCATAATAATTTCCATCAGCAATGAAAAAGCGGTGAAACATTTTAAATGAGGATAAATTAGCCAGATGGGTCAGGCAGCCACCTATTTTTAAATCGATATTACGCTCTAATATCCCTCTAATATAAAAGCCAGTCATGCCATCTGGCAAGGAATACCATTTGGTAACCTAATGTAAGGGGCACATGGCCTTAACGCTCCTGCACAGACATACTCACAGGTGTTTTCACATTTTGCTTTAGTAGAGCAACTCACAGCTAATCTGATGTTAACAGTGTATTTGTAAAGGCGGTGCAGTATTCTTCCATCATTTAATTTTACATTGTGCTGACTGTTAAAGGACGTTTCCTTTTCCCAAGAATCAGGGGTCAGCAGCACTTAATATAATCTTTTGGGATAATGAAGTGACCTGCCCTGACTGTTCAGTTTAAGAGTCTTTTGTTTTTATACCATGATTACATCATTTTACTACAAAGTTAAACAAGAAGTGACATGGTGAATTTATGTTGTATTGACATTTTCCTTGTAGTATAAGCAAGAACACTAAAGCATCGCAGTGATGTACTTCAGTTAAACCTGTTACCATCCAAGGCATTTTGGTCCTGCTGTCAGTTTTTACATTTTGATAGTGTTAATGTTAGCCAGCTGGGAAGGCTGGAGAGAGCCATGAGGGAAGGATGGAGTGATACAAGAGGGAGGAGCTGGGTGAGTGTCCTGTCACCTCTCATGCCTCACCACTTGACAACAGAGTGATAAGAATGTGTTTCGAGAGAGACATAGGGCTTATCGTCAGTGTCCGGGGGTGTGCTGAGACTCAGTGTTTCTTTAGTGTGTAGATGAGAAAGAGGGGGACTGTGGGGTGTGTGTGGTTGTGTGTTGTGTGTCAATGCTGATATAAAGAGGCTGCGGTTAGCCAAACCATTATTAACCATCTACCGAAGATGAAGTCAGCAAATTCTTGAAGGTAGGGCTTAATTTAATTATCAGTCAGACCTCTGATGTTTTTTCCATTTAATCCATTGATAGTTGAGTCAAAAAAAAGGGTAAGAATAATGGAGAACGTCACTCAGAATTGTCGGCAATCACAAGGGAAATTTTCTTTACATTTTTAAAAGTCTAATTTGCAGTGATATTAAATGGTGGAACCAACAAGAAAATCTTCTCATTTTACTGTAAATCAGTAAGTCATTCATTTTCTATTAAACAACAAATTGATTATTATTTCTGCTCTACTTTGGACTAAAACGATGGGGAATCATGTGACTGAAGACTGAGGATTTTAGTCAGCACAGTGAACTAAATCAACAGTTGTGATGTGTCCCGCATTTCTGGGCCCATTTTGATGTTTGCTATTGCCTTTTTCTTATTCCTGTAGACAGCAGGCCTAACGCAATTAACATGATGTCATGTTGATATGTACAGTAAGGCCACAGTGGGTGTGGCAGAAATGCTTTTCTCTGTCAAGGCAGTGGATGAAGAGATTTTGAATTAAGGCCATAAGAGTTGTAATTGTCATTAATATTGCTGTTTGGGCCAAGTGCCTCTGTAACAGTATGTTGCTTGTTGCTTGAGGATTGTCTGTTTGGCATCAACAAGTTGTTTTGCCTTCAACTCCAGCTGAAAATGTGCAAATTGAGTTTTGTATATTGATGCTAAATCTTTCAAGAGCGACTCACACTGCATCTAAGAATCATTCTTGCCATTGTCTTACTATGAACGTCCCATGTTGTAGTATTTTTTCCTAGTATTTTCAAACTACTCTGACTTAGAGGAACTTGTTCACAGATGCACAGAGAGAATCACTAGAAGCAGACAAGACCACTTGGCTAAAATAGGAATCACATATAGAGTAAGTAATGAAAGAATGTAAGAATAATGTGTATTTTCTTAATGTATGTAGCATTGCAGTATCTGTTGTACAGAGCATCACTTGGTATGCAGTTGTCCCGAATTCATTCATGAAAGAAGGGAAAGGGGGAATGCTAGTGGGGGTCAGCAGAAAAATAAGGGGGAGGGACAAAGAGAGAAGAGAGTCTGAAACCTAATCTGTATCATGTTCTGAAGCAGCCTTTAATGTGAGTGTGTGCGAGGGGAGGCTTAAATGGGCATCTGCCGCAAGCCTTGATAACAGACCAACACTCCAGTTACATCCCAATGCTCTAATTATACAGACTAATCCTACAAATACAGTACATGTACACAAGGAGAACAGAGCATAAAGCCCTCCAACATGCACTGATGACAAAGGAAACAGATGCGCGATGGCTGCAACTAAAACATTCAAATCTAAAAGCAGTTGACTTTTATTAATTAAGGTTTTAAATGAGTTTGCTGCTGGATTTATAATTTCTGCCAACTTTCAGTCTGATCAAAGACAGATATTTGCATAATTAAAACAGAATACTTGGAAAAGATCAGCAAATTAAACGAATTGCCATGTGGTGGACACGATCCAGTGAATTCTGTTTGCAGCATGATTTCATATCTTTTTTTGCTCAGATTTTCCTGGCTACTTCTACAGTTTTACTCGTGTCCCAAAGGGTGTGATCATTCTTGCCACGAGTTAGCTTTGAGGTATTGTGGTAACTGGTGTTCGTAAACAGAAGTCACTTTGATTTACAAGCTTTGCTGGTCAGAGTTTTGGCATCCTGATATCTCACTAGATTTTGGTAGCATAATACATAAGCATCATTCTTGTTTCAATGCCTCTAACTTTACCAAAGGATAACAGTGTTTTATGCGGCTATTTAAAAAAGAAATAGCTGAGCCTTGTAATGCCATAAACTCTTAAGTTTCAGGGTAATTTTTCAGTTGTCAGTTCAGATCATATTCTCACTTAATTGACATGCTTTTTTGGTGCCTCTGGAGTTTCACTATCTCTTGTGTGAAATGAAAAGAATTGATTTAGATACTTCAGAATTTGACAAAATAAAACAAAAAGGAAAGTTTAACCAGCAGTTTGATTGTTCCCGTCTCCAGTAAAAGCAGAAGAAAAATCTACTGTAGTTGCTCAACTGCTTCAGTATTTTCTCAGTGGCAGCCGTGAAAGTGTGTGTGTCTGTGTGTGTGTTTGTGTAGGGTGGGCTTTGTTCGCCTGACCTAGTTAAGCTGGTTACTTTGTCCTCCCACTCTGATGATAATGGGACACACACACACACACACACACACACACACACACACACACACACACACCACTACACCCTTCAGTAGGCCAAGCCAAGAAATAGTCCCAGTGAAAATGTCCACAGCAATGTCTGAGTGACTGTCGCTGCAAAGAGACGTTGCAGTTGAGTTTTGTGATCGCTGTGAACTAAATTCCACCCACCTCCATTATAATATGGGGGTGGCAAAAGTCTCTGAAGTGGATTTCTTAGAACCTCATTAAACTGACCCTTTAACTGGGTTTCTCTGTATCTCCTGGTAGGAAAACCAGAGTTTTTTATTTACATCACACCAGGGGGAAGAAGTCAGCAACCCACACATCCACTCACACACTCTCGCTAAGTCCTTGCCTGTTGCAATGTGTGTCAGATTATTATTATGGGTTGTCTGCTGGCCACAGGGATACAGGGGAGGGAGGCAGGTCTGGATCTGATTAACATACCTCGACTAGGGCAGAGGTATGTTATATACAGACACATATATGGTGTGTTATTGTGCGGGTGTAAGGCACTGTTTTATATATAAACAGATTAAAATGTTTTCCAAAGATAAACCTTGAAAAATATGTTTTGAGCCTTAAAGTCTTACTCTAATCACAAGAGTAGATTATTTTAAAAGTACGTTAAAATCTGTCCCTCAGGACTTCCTTTTTTTATTATAGCAGCTACATTGCTGAGTTTGCAGTAACATTTCCTCAGGTGGGGGGTTGTTCTGTCTATATAGATGATTGTCCCAGTAAACACCACCCTCCATCACAAATTTCTTGTTTTATCATGTCTTTTAGTTATCAGTTTCCAGTTCGTATTGCCTGAAAGAAACACTGACTTTAAAAATAATCCAGTGGGGCTTTTTTACGGACCAGCTGTACAAAACTGGTGTTCACTGTGGTCAGCTCCCAAGTGAGAGTGTGTGTAAATGAGTGAGTGTGAAGCAGAGTGGTTTTGAAAACAAGCAAGTATGCTCAGGCAGCCTGCCCTGCATAAATAAAGGTTCGCTGCCCTGTTGACTTGCACCAGCACGGCAGACACAGTCCAGTCCCCTGTGGATTGGGACTAGCCTGAATACCAGATGACAACAGCAGACTGATGCAGAGCTCTTTTAGCATTTTTTCGTGGAGACTAATCTAAAACATGCTATTTTCCTTATTGAGAAATACTGTTTTTATTTGCTTTGTGATCCGTCATTGCATCAGCACAGTGCTTTAAGGCACAGGAAATATAATGGCTCACTGAGCAACTGGAAATCACTACTTCAGCATCAAAGGACAGCAGAGTGGGAAATTAACTCCAGACTCGCGCTGGAAAATCGTTTCCTCTCATTGAGTTTGTCTACTGTATCAGCACCTCTGGCAGGTGACCAGACATTATTTGGTCTTTTTAAGATGCTGTTAAGCATCTAGTTGGATTGCTGCTGACACTGGTGACTGAAGCTACTCCCTTCACCATGAAAGCTTCTCTTCGGTTCACCAGTGAAATGTTTTTAATGTGACGTGGTTGTATTACTAAATTATTTGTTATATTGCTGCATTATTGAGCAGTTAAATATTCAATGACAAAGATCAGATAAACACTTCATCTCTGTTTCTTCATGTGTTGTTTCAGGTGTTGTGTAGTGCAGAAGACTGAGTGAACCATGGCACAGTTCCCCACCACATTCACAGGTCAGTATGTGTGTGTGTGTGTGTGTATAACTGGCATGAAATGTGGAAAGTCGATGTTTATATTTTCCTCTCAGAGTTGACGGCTAAGAGTCAAGTGTAAGATGGCAGCACATTGCTCCATTAATCCACCACAGTATTCCATCAGTGCATTAGAAGACGAGACACACCTTCTCACGAATCCACTTTCCATTTCCATAACCAGTCCTAGAATCCCCCCAAGATCATTTATCAATCTAATTGTAAAGCACAATGAGTTACTTCAGGGAGAGGCAGAATAAAGTCACGTGACAACAGGACGTAGCTGCAACATTGCAATATAAAAAGTATAGTGCCACTAAACCAGTAGTCTTAAAAAAAGGCATACACAGGGACATATTAGCAGATAAGACAGCTATCAAAATAACCTCAGAGTGAAATCTGTGGTCAGTTCTGTCAGTGAGAGACTGGAGGCAGACAGACAGACAGAACAAAGGCCAACTGACTCCAAATGCTTAAAAACCACACATTGTGAGATTTGTCAGACAATAGGCAGATTTGTAACTGTTAGATAGAGCATATTGCACACTTGACTCTGTGCTGAATGAGGACTAGCCACTCAAACCATTGTTAAGCAGTGGTACTCAAAGGGAGACATTCATCTAGAAACAACTGAGGCTGAATGATGGCATAACTGCATATGTGTCATATCAAAAATATAGATACTTCCAATGTGAAGTATTGGACAGGTGTAGACAGAATTTACGTTGATGGGATTTTTCTGCATTTTGTTATTTAAAACGTTGTGGCAGAAAAATCCAGGCTACATATGGAAAGAATAAGCATCCTTCTCAACAACTGCTAACAAAGGGAGTTAAAGGAAATACTGGGCTATTAGAAAAGCAGAGAGGCGACAAGACCAGCTAATTATTGAGAAAGACCACTGAATCATCCCTGTCAGCTAGTGATGAGTCTGTTAGATTAACGTTACTGACTCATGGACGAACTTGCCATGTATTCAGTTTTCTAAGGAAAGACAGTGGCCTCTGACTCTCAGTCCCTCATCCATTCATCCGTTTTTCTTTCCTCATCAGTGTCTGAGTTGACAGTCTTTCTTAAGTGTCACTTAACGGGAATCCTCTTACAGGAACTGAAACTCACGACTAACACATTCTTCTCATGCTTCTCTTTTCTCCCTCTTTCTCTGTGTGTGTGTGTGTGTGTTTGTTGCTTTTGTGGGTTAGGTCCAGATGTGTTTCTGATCTCAGTGGATGAGAGAGCCAAACATGATCAGCAGTTTCTCAGCCTCTCTCCGACTGCTGGGGGTTACATCACAGGTAACAGTCTCCCTCCCTCTGTCTCTGTATCTCGCCCACACTCCACACACACTTTTACAGGGTAAGGGTGAGGCGAGATGAGGACATGAACAAAGGCAGTGTCATTTCAGGTCCTCAGTGCTTGGATGTGTGCTGTAGAAAGCAGAAACTGGATGAAGAAAACTACATTTGAATGAGAAAAAAACATTTGAAAGTAGAACCAAAAGTTATATTTTATGTTACAGAGTGATCTCAAATTATAATGTGCCTCATGGGTTAAATTGTTTTCTATCAATCATTTAACAAATCCATTATTGGTATACGATGCAGGATTGTCGGATGCTGTTTGTAAAAATCCTCATCAGTGAAAGTGAAAATAAAAGCTGACCAATTATTCTTTTGTTAATGATTGTTCAATCTACCAACTATTTTCTCGAATATTTGTTTGGTGTATAGAATCTAACCCCAATTTTCCAGAGTATGTTGTTGTTACATATCTTCCAATTGCTTGTTTTGTATAACCGACAGTCTCGAACCTAAACAAACCTAGGAATTGTTTGTTGTTGTGTCGCCTCAGAGAAAGTGCAATATTTTATACATTTTGTATTTCTGTCAGTGTCCAAAGAGCTAAAAATGAGATCCAGTATTTATCTGTTTTGAAATGGGCTTTGGCTTTCTCCATGTGGTCAAAAGTGGCCTTTCTTTTTGGATTTGTCCTGTGATCTCACATCCTGCTTCTCTTTGTCTGTCAAGGCGACCAAGCCAGGAACTTCTTCCTTCAATCAGGGCTGCCCCCTCCCATCCTGGCCCAAATCTGGTGAGTCACATAGCCAGGAATTTTTTTAATAACTCACAGACTATCAATCATTGTATTAATTTGAAACTCACGCGATAATGACATTATGTTTAGTATTAAAGTCTGTTCACACAATTTGCAACTACAGTTTTTTGTGTAGCAATACATCAGTCTTTTAACTTTTATCTCTGTGTACCTTTTAAGGGCTCTGGCTGATATGAACAGCGATGGTCGTATGGACATTCACGAGTTCTCCATCGCCATGAAACTCATCAAATTGAAACTCCAGGGTCACCCTCTACCCCCCGCGCTCCCTCCCAGTATGAAACAACCCCCACTGACTTTACCCCCACAGGGTGGCTTTGGTAAGACAGACAGAATCACACAATGGACTGTGTATGTGATATAACTGTTAAATATTTATGGCAGCTGGCTCTGTGTCAACCTGCTTTATTTTGTTTCATAAAATCACACTTCTAAAAACATCTGCCTCACTAGCAAGTTTATGCGGTGATTGATTGTAAGACTAAATAATAACAGTGATAATTTTAATCTAATTTTTATTCTGCACTGGGTTAATAGAGAACAAACACTGCACACAGTCTAATGTAATTACAGAGATGTAGTCTTTTGCTATCAGTTCATGTCACAGCTGCAAGGTTTTTTGATGTCATGTTCCCTAAAAAAGGGGTGGTGGTAAAACACTGCAGATGTATTTGATCAGGATTATGTCACTTTTTTGTTTTCCAAAGGTCATTCAGGAAATGCTTGCTCACTCTCATTCAGTCTGCTGCACCTCTGAGACTGATCAATACCGTTATAATGCAAACACAGTAAAGAGTCATAATGTTCCTCTCCTTCAGCTTACACTGTGGCTCTCACGCCCCATTTACTAGTATGAATAAAATCTCTAATTCGTCACTAGAAACTCATCTCTTATGCGTCTTTTGAAAAATACTCTGCACATCTGTTTTTCTCCAGGCATGCCCCCCATGCCCCCCATCGCAGCTCCTCTGCCAGGTGTGCCTCCGCTCCCCCTGCCACCTCTCCCTGTCGGAGTGTCTCCTCCACTCGTCTCTTCCGCCCCTCCTGCTCTACCCCCGCCCATCGCCAACGGAGCTCCCCCCACAGGCATAATGCAGCCCATCTCAGGCTTCTCCCACCCAGGTAAGGCACTGTAACAACACGGCAAGGCGGTGTGTCGAAATGTTTGCTTTGCTTCTGTAGCAACTGTAGTTGTGGACAAAGGTCTCAGCCCTAAGCTTCTGTTTACACATCAATTACACATTTATATTTACAGTAGTAAGTAGCAGGTCACTGTTTTGTAGTGAAGTTAGAACCAGGTATAGCAGCTTTGCATTTGTTGCTGACTGACTGAATTTAATATCACACCATAAAGGAATGAAATAAGATGACATGAAATTAAACGCTGCTGTGTATATGCTGTTTGATATTAGGTTAAAATGCTCAGCGTCTGACCACAGCCTCAAACTAAAATGTACTCTTCTCTGTCTCTACCAGCTCCCTCTGTCAACAAGTCCTCTTCATTTAATCGGTCCAGTGCAAAGTTGCAGAAGGGGTCGTCCTTGGACGCTGCTAGGTAGGTCACATAATCAGAAATGTTTCCACCATTTTGCCTGGTAATAATCTGTTACGGTGAGAATATTTCAGCTGAATTATTGTCACATCTTTAATGTAGTTTCTGCCAATATCTTTACAAGCTGTTAGTTACTTATTTTGCTTTTGTCCTTTTTGCATCAAGTTGATATAAACGTAGGCATACACACTTAAACCACTCAAGGTGCTTGGCAGTATATTTGATAGTGGATCTTACATTTTATGTGCTTATTTTTGCTTTCGGTCTGCTGATAAAGTCACTTAACTTACCTTCTGTTCTTTGTATTCTTTTACTTATCCAAGTGCTCAGCCCCCCCCTGATTGGGCCGTTCCTCAGTCCTCCAGGCTGAAGTACAGACAGCTTTTTAACTCCCATGACAAGATGATGAGTGGACACCTCACAGGTACTCACACGCAGACTGACATGTTATGATTTATGATGATATTTCTGTCATGTTTGCCACAGCATTAAATGTATTTGGGGACTTTTCTTTCTCTCAGGTCCCCAGGCTCGCACTATCCTGATGCAGTCCAGTCTTCCTCAGGGCCAGCTGGCCACAATATGGTCAGTAAATTGAAATTCAACAGTTTAATCAAAATCAAAATATTTAGAGGACATTGGTCCTTGAAATGCTTAATTTGTTTCATCATTTTTTCCTACAGGAGTTTATCAGATATTGACCAGGATGGAAAGCTGACCGCCGAGGAGTTTATCTTAGCCATGCACCTCATAGATATGGCTATGTCAGGGTTACCGCTACCCCCTGTGTTACCACCAGATTACCTCCCGCCCACATTCAGGTAAGTACTGTGATTTAAATACCACATTAACTGACAGCAGTATATTATGCTGTAGTTTAAAGCAGATGTTTGCGATAAAGTTTCAGGTCAGATTGAAGTGAAATGCATTTATCAGTTTTTACAAAATGTGTTTTATCCATCGTTGTGAATTGTGAACATTAACAGAAGTAATAAAATGTGTCTCCCAGATGTGTCTACTGACAATACTGACCATGTGTATTGATAATTTGTATTGTTTTGACGATGTGTGTGTCTTAAAGGCGTGTGCGAAGTGACAGTGTTCAGTCGGACCAGAAGAGTGTCCAGGAGGAGGCAGAGGAGGAGGCGGAGTGCAGCCAGGACAAGAAACTACCAGGTGATTGGTCCTGCACATTACATCATAGTAGACCCTATTGTGTTTTTGATAAACAAGGGTGCTTCACCATCTGCACGCAGCATTTAGGTTCTTTAAAACACTTGTCAGTAATTTTGTAAGTGTTTCTGTGATCTATCAGCTGCCTACGTACCACAAAACTCTTCTGCCTCTTTTGATCAGTCCCTCCAGGATTACACTGGCTGTTTTAGGATTTTTTGCAGCCTGAAATGCTTGATTTCACAGTAGCTTTTTAAAAATAGTGCAGTGTATGTTGCAGTGTTTTTAGGTGTTCTTTTGTAGTGATATTGTGGCAGCAAGTGAAAATTGCCAAAAATAATTGATTCATGAAAAATCAAAGGCAACTTGTTCCAGTGAGAATAAAATTGCACTATTCTGAGTTTGTGATTCATACTACATCAACATAGCTAGTAACCATGCCTGTTTAATCTAACTCACCTTAATTCTTTCAGCACATGCAATAGATCTGGATACAGCCTCTGTCATGGTGATTTATCTTGTCTGTTTTCCATGCGTTTGTGCCAGTCTCTGGGTGTGTTTTATGGAAGAAAAGAATTTGTCAATGTCAGTTGCGTTTCACCACAACATTGCACATGGTGCAGAACTGTTTACCCTCGCTTTCGTACACAACATCACAGAATTGCCTTGCTTGGTCTTTTGCAGTGATTTGGGTTGGTACATGTGAGACTTTGTCACACATGTCTGCATCTTCTCAACCAGATACAAGGTGGAATGATTAGTAAAACTCATGGGAAACTGCAAAGTTGTAGTGATAAAATTGCATTTGTGTAGTTAACAAAATTGCAAGGTTTTGCAGAATTTACAAGGATTGATTGAAGTTGTGTTAATTGTTGCCAGGGTTGGAAATAAACTTTTTTGTCCACCTGCCACTGTGGCTGGTGGATTCAGAAATCTCCCAGCCACTCAGTAGCTTACCATAGATTTTTTTGGCTGGTGAGTGAATCAAATCTAGCAGCCAAATGCTGGCATATTTTACCAGCAGTTGGCTGGACTTCCAACCCTGATTGTTGCAATTGTGACATTGCAACATCCTGGAGGGGCTGTGTGATTTAGTGCCACACAAACAGTGGTCCACTTTGCTTTTTAATTTCAATCTATGTTGTAGCCACTCTTCATTAACATTCATGTGAAAGATTGACAGTTTGAAATAAAACAGAATAGTGTAAATGTGCACTTCTAAGTGCTTAGGCGAGGCCAGAAACATGGCATCATATATCCCATCTGTAAAAATATGAAATCATAGCTACTGCATGTTGTTTATATTTACTCCCTTTGTATCACCATAGTGACGTTTGAGGATAAGAAAAGGGAGAACTTTGAGCGAGGAAACCTGGAGTTGGAGAAGAGACGTCAGGCTCTGCAGGAGCAGCAGAGGAAAGAGCAGGAGAGGCTGGCTGCCCTGGAAAGAGAGGAACAGGAGAGAAAGGTATACTCTTATCAATTTCTCATGTGCACACTGTGAGCCCTTATAATTTGAATTGGTCATGGCTAATGGCTTGTGTATAAGGCTCTAAAATATTTGCATTTATAATAGCCTCAGTGTTTTCATTGTGGCAGCCACAAAACCCCATGTCTTTGAAATAAATCAGTGAATTATTTACTTTTATGACAAGTGTTGAAACTAGGAGGAAATGAAAATGCATTGGGGTGACCTGTAACAAATAATAGAGCTGTTTGCTCTGCCGGCTCACTTTTGTGCATTTGTTTTTCAGGAGCGTGAGCGTCTGGAGCAGGAGAGGAGACGACAACACGAACTAGAAAAACAACTGGAGAGACAGAGAGAGCTGGAGAGGCAGAGGGAAGAGGAAAGGCGCAAAGAGATAGAGAGGAGAGAGGTATGAAGAAGACAGGAAGGGGGGAGGAGGCAAAAATGATTACCAGGTATCTACATTTTAATTGAAGAGTTAGGGTTGAGTCGACATTTAACTGCTGCAGGCTTGTAATTACATCTGCTCCAGACAACTTAGAGGCCTTTCACTGCCATCTTTAAATCTCAGCTTCTACAGTAAAGAACCTCATTCACACTCCTACACCAGATGGCTTGTTGTGTATAATGAAGTGTTATATATGAATATAATTTGATGCGACATAATATCCAATCTTGTGTAGTCTTGTTCTGTGAGCTGTAATATTTAGTTGGGAAAATAAACTTTTTGCTTTGTGTGTCTTTGTCTGTCCAGGCTGCTAAGCGAGAATTAGAGCGTCAGCGTCAGCTGGAGTGGGAGCGTCAACGTCGCCAGGAGCTTCTGACTCAAAGAAACAGAGAGCAGGAGAGTATAGTGCTGCTCAAAGCCAGGAAGAAGACCCTGGAGTTTGAACTGGAGGCTTTGGTAATCAAACAAATGCACCCACACCTAGTCACATAATCAAACATACAGTACACACAGAGTAGACAAGAGAGAATACTGCTTGTCAATCAAAGGAAGTCACATTTTGGACAGCTGACAACGTGCTGTACTGCATGGCAATTATTAACACTCAAAGTCTCTCTGTACAGTCTGTACAATATAGACAGGACCACAGTGATCTAACTGAGCTGACAGACAGTACTAGTTGCAGAGAGTTACTCTTTGGACTGCCACATCAGTCAGAGTCTGTTTGTGTGACAATGGCAGGCTTAAACTTTTCTTTAAAGACAAGCCAAAAGCAACTACTAAAACCAACAGGAAGAACAGAACAGTTATCAAAAGTTCTTTCTGTAACCTAATTTATTTGATTTATATTATAGCACATAGAAAAACACTAACAAAACAATATAAATAATAACAGAATACTCAAGGGAGGCCAAAGGTCTGAAAGGGTTATCACAGGTCTCCCCAGCTGTGATGAAGACATTCAAATAAAATAAACTTTAAGTCCCCTTTCAGACACGTTTTTAGATATGTACTACTTATACTGAGACAAATATTTGTTTAACATGGTTTTCCCACATAATAGCAAGGAAAAAACTGGAAGCAAATCTATTCTTTCTCCATCACTTTCTCTTTTGGCGTCTCTAGCGCTGCTAGTGTAAGGTTGAACAGTGAAAGAGTAGTGTGTATCAAGATGGCTGCCATTAGAGGAAAGATTGGAGATTATTCATTTGTTTGAGCCTCAGTCAGAGCCAGACTCAGGTGAGGGCGACCAGTAGATTCATCCAAATGGTTAGTGTAGTTAGCCTTTTGATGTTTATTAGCTTGTTAGCTTGTAGGCTAACTGGCAGTGGCTCACATTGTTAGTTTTTTGTGAAACGTACAATAATATCTGCTACAATGGGTTTGGGTAGATAGTGAAAGGAAGCTCAAGGGTCCAGTTTACATCCATCTATTCCTCTGTCAAAATGTGTTTCCCATAAAAGACAGTAATTAGCTCTCCTACTTTGACTGTAACAAATATATCAAACAGATAAGAAGTAACTAAATGCCAGTTCAAGGTTTATCTAAAAGTTGTTTTTTAGATGTTTTTTAACACGATGACTGACTGGGGGAGCTGATTAACATTGTTCCACATTATATGATCTTTACATATATTTTATGAAAAATTGAATGAGGTGGGTTTTAACAAGGGGAAAGTGAAGGTGACTGGACTGTATGATCTGTTAAAAGTAAAGATCTGGGTTCAACTGACAATATTGCCAGAAACATGTAGGCAAGCTTTTAATCTTGTGGATGGCCTTTTTAAAACAAATTTGCATTCTGCTGATGTTCAATACAGATAAAATTTTCAGTTTACGAAACAATGACGCAGATGGTTGCCTGAAGCCAGAAAACGTAGCAACTTTAACACCTTTTCTGAGGAAGAAAGAGTGCTTTGCATATCAGCAGAAATTTAATAGTGCATTCCTTTCTATCTCTATTTTCCCATCCTGTAGAATGATAAGAAGACGCAGTTGGAGGGCAAACTGAAGGATGTTCGGTTTCGTCTGTCAGCTCAGCGGAGAGAAGTGGAGCAGACCAACCAGACAAGAGAAACACGCATTGCTGAAATCACCCTGCTACAACAGCAGCTGCAGGTACTCAAAATGAATGTTAACCATCAGCACAACAAAAGAAAAACAAACACAAAATGCTTCCATTCATTAAGTCACAGGAGCCATTGATAAAACAAATTTTTAGAAACTGTAGAATTTGTTCATGTAGTACAATTCTGATCTGGGTTTTTTAATAAACCTGTATGGAGTGAAAACTGTTCAACCTTACAGGACTCGCAGCAGTGGTTGGGGAGGCTAATTCCTGATAAACAAAGTCTCAATGACCAGCTGAAACAGGTTCAACAGAACAGTCTACATCGTGAGTACATTAACTAAACACTCATTTAAATGTGTATATGTTATATTTGCATATTCTCGCCATGATGTTAGAGAGTGTTCTTGATTGGATGTATGGATACAGTTGAGTTACATCATGTTTTAGGTTGTGCAAGTTTGACCCTTGTTTCCACAACAACAATGCTGAGTTTCATGTAAAGTGGGAAAGTTTCTTGATGTACCTTCTCTCTGACAAGTTGTTGGAACAATTTAAAAGTGGTAATGTTTCTCTTAGCCCTTTATAAGTTCAGAATTTTGAGATACACCTGTGACGTATACTGGACACTCGTGGCATTCTGATTACCACAATGTACTTGAGCTTATAAATAAATGTGAGTTTGTCTGTGACTAATTAACCAAACCTCTCTGTGTGTATTTAGGTGACAGCCTGTCGTCCCTGCAGAAGGCTGTGGAGCAAAAGGAGACCAGCAGACAGCAGCTCAGAGAACAGCTAGATGCTGTGGAGAGAGAGACGAGGGCCAAACTTCTGGAAATAGACGCTTTCAACACCCAGCTGAAGGTACACAGCTTCTTAATTAACACATTAAAACAGCACACACAGGAATGGTATTGGTATATAAAGGTAAATACTTTGTCAACTCCCGGTAACTAAATTATTGCCCTCATTAAAATGTCAACACACTTAACAGAGAACAGCTTCATGCTGTTGACTGATGTTAGTTACTAGGGACAAATACAAGCTGTCGTGACACAGCACTCTAAGTGTTTAAATAAATAAAAAAGGGGCAGGAAAAACTTGAATTTAATAGTATATATAATAATAATATATATTTAGAACAAGATTAAGGTTAGGTTTAAGAGTAAAAAATGTGCCTACTCTTTCTTTTTCGCTCTCTTATTTGTACTGATTGTTTTTATCTGAAGGAAAGCTCAAAGTGAAACGTGGTCTGACCAAGCATTCTTTGCAAGTGCGCTCCTGGTATTTTCATTAAAGTGTGTTTCATCCAAGTCTTGTGAAAATAGATCCCAATGCAGATTTCCACTGCATGGTACGACACAGCTCTACTCAACTAGACTCCCTTTTTTTTTTCGTTTTCCATTGGCAAAAGTTGATGTGCGTACCTTTTCTTTTTTTGTGTGTGTGTCACCCCAGTCACGGTGCCAAACAAGCTGAGCCGACTAGAAGGTGGAGTTAAAACACTGCAGACCACTGATTGGTCAGAGAGAATAGTCACTCGTCATAATGGACATCCTGCTCAAACCCACCATTTTTAAGTAGCCACCATAATAGTGACTGCAAGTTTTTCATTTATTTGACCCAGATTTTAAAAAGTGGCAACCGCTAACACTACGCTGTATACTGAATACACTATAAACCCTACACTGTACAACAGACAGAGTGCAGACATCCCTCTGTTTGCTGGTGAAAGGATCCAGCAAGTGTTGCATTAAAGGTAATGTCGCAGCAGTTTCATGCGGCGTCACTTAGGCAGTCTGCCGAGACTTGAAAACAAAATAAAGAGTTTGGAGCGGGTTGCACCAACTGGTCTTTACTGAGCCTGATTTTAACTGCCAAGTATGTCTGTGTTCAGACCAGTCTTCAGAATTGACTTCACCAAACTTCAGCCTAGTCTTAACTACACCCAGTCTTAGCGATGCATGCTCATATGAATGTCTATGCCTCTGTGGCTGTTGGCTAGCAGGGCATGTGTTGCTAGGATACATTGTTAACAATTTCTCGCTGTCTTGCTAATGTGCAGTTCATCATTTATCATTTCCAGCAACATAATGATGGAGTATCAGAGAAAGATAAAATAAAATTTCAAGGATGTCAATATGCAGTGATGAATAAAGCTCCACAGGACAGGCATGTCTGTGTTTGACTCACAGCAGCTGGTGGGTGGAGCTCCACAGATCATATGAAAGGAGAGGAAAAAGTACACAAACTTGGCCGTAGCTTATAACTCATGGACTGACAGTGTGTTGTTACCAGTGGTAATAAAGAGTAAGGACCACACCAGCATCTGAACAGACCAAAGTGGCATTTTCAGGTAAGTTTAAATGCTGCTTAATGTGCTGCAGCTGACCAACTAATCACCTAGATATATAGCTTGATAACTGACATTTGCAGCACACTTTTCTATTAGGTCCGACTTAGGATGGCAAGTTACGGCTGACTTGGCCTAAGACTGCCCTGTTGGTGCAACTGGCTCCCGATACCAAAAATGAGTCGAGTCGTGCAGTGGAAATGAGGCATAAGTGAAGGACACATGGAAGTGTCATGTTTTTATTCTCTCTGGAATCTGTTGTAGGGCCTTGACTTAAATTTTCAAATGAACACAACGTACAAAAAATCCAGTGTACCACAATATCCAACACACTGTGCCTCAGTTTGATGCACACATGCTGAGTTTTTAGTTTGTTCTTAGGCATGAAAATGAAGTTGTGGCATGTGCTAATCATTTTCATAATACTTATTTGCTGTTATGTCTGATGCATTCCTGTATCCTTTATTAAAATAAATCTATTCAATTTAACAGCCAATTAATAAATTAACTAGCTTGCTAACCCAGTAATTGTTCTGCTAAATGAAATATTGGATTGGTGTTATGACTGTAGCTTTAAACCATGTCCTGTCCCGTCCCTCATAACCCCATTCTCATGCGAGTTTAAAATAATCACAATGTTTATGTTTACTGAAGTGTTTTCATGTTTATATCTGACTGCAGTATCTGTGTTTGTATGGTGTTTTATTGTGTGTATTAATGTGGATTGCCGTGTTTTTGGAGAGAGCTAGCTGTGCACAGGAACACTGAGCGGTTTCCCAGACAGCTGCTTCTTGTAGCTTTCACCAAAAATCTACTACTGAGAGAGGGAGATGGAGGGATTTTATTCCTTTAAGGGTTGGGGCACTGCAGTCTGTTTATGTTTCCTAGACCACCTTTTGTCCCTGTTCTTTCCCCAGAATACTGAGTCTGGTCAGAGAGAGGAGAATTAGTCCTGTGGTCTGTTCCAGCAAGGAGGAGAGTGCGAAGGAAGAGGGGGAAGGGAGGAAAGCAGAGACAACACAGACCACAATAAATAGATTTTCTATTAGCTAATCTAATGAAGTTGGTTCTCAGTCTTATTCAGTTTAGTCAACATAACACAGTGATTAGAGAACGTGGTGAAAAGCCTTTTGAGCAACAAACAAAACCAGCAGTGTTGGATACCAGTTTTCTCCAGATGCAGCCATGTCTCAGTGGTGTGATTCTTTGAAAAACAGAGCCTACGACCACTGAGATGTGAACAATGTTTGACTATACTGCCGTCCACCTTCCTTTCTACACCACTTCCTCTCCCCAAAATCTTTTCTCGTCACACTGCTGTGCCTCCTCTGTCCTCTATACCCGCTGGCGCTCTTCATCTCCAATACTTGCTGTCCTCCTCATCTGTGTCTCCCTCCTGCTTCTTCATCCTGTATTTCTTGACCTTTTGCCTTCATTTTCATCTTATCATATTCTTTGTTCAATCCACATAATAAACCCTTCCTTGTATATTTTCTACTCCTTTATTTATCTCCTACACTGGCCTTTTGCTCCCTTGCCCATGCCAGTCTCTGTGTGAGTTCTATGCCAACCACTGTGCCAGGATAGAAGCCCTGCGACGCCAGCTTCAGGAGGAACAGAGAGGGAGACAGGTAGAGCACACTGCCGCTGCTGGACTGGGGTGGTACTGCAGCGGGGATATACTCTAATACAAAATGATACCAAATCATATGATGAACACACTGCCTCTTATGGCAGACCTGAGGCATAGGCTAATTTGGCAGACTATTTGAGAAACAAGTAAAAGGTAGTACAGCCTCACTAACTTGCAAGCTTCAGGAATTCTAGTTACTGTAGAAGGCTTTGCCATTTTTAACACCTGCAAACCAGACCTTTAAAATGCCTGGTTTGTGCAGACATTTCCTGTTTGTGCACTGTGATGCCCCCGCCAGGCAGCTGGATGTATTTCAGCCAGTTGAAGCTTGACTGTAAATCATTGAGCTACGAATGGTTTGACTACTGAAAAGCACTCACATACTCATGTACTGATTCTGGTGTGCTGTTTTTTTTCTAACCTCACAAGTCAGAGTCTTAAACATCTCTGACAAGGATGCACTCAATAAAATCCACAAATCCAGAGCAAATCAATGCGCTGTTGGCAAAACTCAGCATTTGTGACTCAGTGAAAACAGAACGGAAGGAAATATTAATGGTAAAGCGGAAAATACTTTTTTGATTTTTTTAATGGCAGAGATATTTATCTTCCAGATTAGTTTTTTTTTACAGATTTAAAGTTATTATATTTTTCTTTTATTTATGTAGTACAGGCAAATACTATACATAATACACACAGCATTATGATGACATGACAATACAACCTCAATAAAATATATGATAGAAAAACTGGACAAAAAAGTTAATACAAATAAAAAAAGACAAAATAAATTTAAGGAAAGATATACTGATATATTAATTTATTAGTGTGGCGTAAATTCAGTCATGTCAGCCTCATTACTAACCAAAAAATTTAGTAAACATCTAAAAACACTAACTCAATAATTGTTTACTACCCAGTTCAGATGGGTCAGTGAAAGAATCTGCTCAGGCATATTGCACAGGACACTAAATATGATGACAGCTGTGCTGTTTCCAACTTCAGCCTGTTTTCGTAACACCAGCTACACTTAACAGTTGCAACAGCATATTGCTCATCACAGTGACTCACAAGAGCCTCTCCTTGCATGAGTCAAAGCCTCATTGTGCTCTGTCTTTTTTGTGTAATCTCTACTGGGAGTTAATCACCAGACTAACATCAGGGATTAAAACGTGTATTCAGGTAATTGGAAAGCAGTTTGAAAGGAATTGAGATACTGAAAGCGTTTACCAAATGTCCACGTAGGAGCTATGGTCTTCGATATTTTTAGAGATGTTGAATTGACATGGAAAAAAATGAAATTGCAGCTGAATGCACAAGACCAACATTTTACAAGTAGACTTACCCAGCATAACCTAACTGCTGTTATGTCTGTGCTGTGTCTGATATTAGTTGATAATTTTAACAGTCATATATGTCATTTTCCAGAGTGTATACATGTAAATATGTGAGATGGCATTAACAAAGGCTAATACCACAAGGACATAAAGTGTCCAGTGTTGCTATCTCAGATACATTTCTCAGAACCTGCTCATAAACAAAACAAGTTCACTTCCAACAATCAGTACCTTGACCGGACAGAGTGTGTAAACATTAACTGTCTGTGAGTGTGTGTCTGTGTCTTCAGAATGGTTGACGCTCTGTGTGAGTATGTATATATGTATATGTGTGTTTCAGTGCCAGCAGCAGGGACAGCTACAGGAGTGTGTGTCAGCCATCAGGGTGTGTCTGGCTCGGCTAGACTACGTTATAAAGGTCCACACAACAACCCAGCTTCCCTTCCCTTTCCCACCCTGCCCCTCTTTCTTTGTCTCTCCCAACTTTTTCTCTTTTCTTTTTTTTTCTCCCCATGTCTCTTCATCCTTTTTTAATCTCTTTCTTGAATCACCTTCTTATTCTCTTTTACCCCCTGCTCCCTATCCCTCTCTCATCCCCTCGTCCAAGCTGGTGTTAGCTCACTACTTTGCTCCCATAGTTAACTCTCTATGCAGTTGTGATGCTAAGCTAGCAGTCGTGCTAGGTTAGCAGGTGTACTAGATTGGGTGACTTAATGCTGTTGCTATGCTAGCCTACTTTACTAGATTACTACACTCAATGTACTGCTACAGCCTCTGTGCTACCAGATGATGTTTCAGCCAGACAAGTAGAAGCTAGTAAACATTTATCAGCGAATACGCTAGAATCTAAGTATGGTAGGCCTGTTTGGACTTGTGTGAATGTGTGTGGGTGCGTGCAGTCTGTGTGTAGGCATGTTCTGTTGTCTCTTGTCCCCCACTTCCTGTTTCAGATTGAGTTGGTGTCCCCTCTCTCTCTCTTTTCTGCAGAGTTGTAGTTTTACTCCTCCGTCAGTCTCTTCTTTCTGGTTGCTTGTTTCTGAAGGTTTCCTCACGTTGGTTGTTTGGCTGAAACATGACAGCTGCCTTGTGTTGTTATAGTAACAGAGTGTGTTCTAATGGCACAGCTGGTTGTCATGACTACACAGAGCTGCCCCACCGCATCCCCTGACTCCCCTCCACTCCTCCCCCTTTTTTTTGTTTATACTTAACACCACCCAAAAACATTCTGTGCCTTGTGCAAGCTCCGCCCCACCGCCATGACCGAAGCCCTGTGTTTTTGGCCGGGTCAGAGCCAACCCTCCAGTAGTGACAAAGCCCCTTCCCAGTGACATCCCCTGGTCTCCCACTTGACATTAAGAAATCTTTCCATAAGTTTTATATATGATTCGATCTCCACAAATTCCCCAAAGCCATATTGGGTTTACTTTGGTCTGTTAAACATGCTATAATGAATTTACAATTACATCTGTTACCCAGAAGACACGATTGGTACATGCATACAACAAATCGTTGTTGCCAAGTAGTTGCTGCGGTCATTGGGATGTTTGTCTTCTGTCCACACCAGCTTGAACAGCTCAAGAGTCATATTGGGGAAATCCTGTTTAGACAGAAAAACACATGCTGCACTGACCACACAAGAGAAAGACAGGAAAGAGGAGCAGCGAATGATTGCAGTGAGACAGTAAATGGGAATAAAGATTATTTTTTCCTTGATTCCTTGTCACTCATTGCCCGGACGCTGCAGTCTAACAGGTGATAAACAGTGTGTCTTCTCAAATGTTTTACCTCACAATCACAAAATGCAGAAGAACTGATATACACCACCCCACTCAAATGATTCTCCTGGGCTGTGTTACTCATAAAGATGTAAGCAGAAAAAAAGGGAGCTGCTTGTTGAACTAGAAGTCCATTCATACCACAGCTAGCAATTTGGTTGACCAACTGCAGGCAGTGGTATATAGGGTGGCAGTGAGGTGGGATGTTGCATTCAAAGCATTACAGTGACAAACCTGTCGATGAGACAATTTGGTCTTTTTGGCTAACTCAAATCCTTCCTGTGTGACCCAAATTCAGTAAGGAAAGGTGAGTCTAGTACTTTATCTCCTTAACATAAAAAAAACTTGATATGCCACTTCCTAGCTGCTTTGCTGTTTAAGGGTAAGTTTCGTATTTGTCAACCTGGACCCTATTTTTCCACACTTTTTGTGTCTAAGTGACTAATCAGAACAATAAATTCTGAAACTGGTCCAGCATTGAGTGAGACTGTTGCAGCTGGCAGTGACAAAACAGGCCGCAGTGTAATCCCTTGGGGCATGTGTCTGCCGTCAGTTTACTTCCACTAAAAGTGATCCTGTTTTTGCCACTGACAGGCAGGCTCAGATTATTATTCCAAGTGTCTGACAAATTATGGAAAGGATTCTTACACAAGTTGACCTTTTTGTCAAAGAGTGTGATCTTTTTTTTTTTAGCAAGAAATAGACCCAATATCACCATTGGCAGACACACCAGACTCCATTTAAGTGAACAGTAATTTTAGCATGTATTTTCACATCAAACTGGATGAATTAAGGGTTTACTTAAACTGAACTATAGTTGGTGATTGTTAGGACAATGGAAAGATGACCTAAGACAGGTTTTTTGAGTTTTATTTTATTTTAGTAGACTTCAAATAAAGTGTGTTTTACGATAATAAGATTACTGTTTATTTAGATGTAGTTTGGTGGGTTTTACTGTTGTGTTTTCAGCGCTGTTTCTGGTTTAATAAAAGGATCTTTCTCTTTAAGATAAAGGCCTATCTCTGTAGGGTTCCTTAATCCTTTCCATAATGTTTTGAGACATTAAAAATAACAATCAGAGGCTGTCAGTGGCAAAATCAGGCACTTTTAATGGACGCATTTTGATGGTGCAAACATGCCCCGAGTAGTTACATTGCAGCCTGTGACACTGCTGCCATCTGCAGCACAGTTTCAAAAATTGTTGTTCCCATTAGTCACTTAGATACAAAAGTATGAGAAGAAAGGATCCAGGTTAATAAATACCAAACCTAACGTTTAAATCATGACCATTTTCAATCATAGCAAAATCGCAATTTTGCCTTAAAAAAATCTTTACAGTCTGAAGAGAGCAAAACACTCTCTTTCTTTAGACTGTCAAATGGGATAAAGAAAAACATCTTTCAAAACAAAAAACAACAGCAACCCTGTAACAAGGAAAAAGAAATAGATATCAATATCAAAACCCTCTTCCAGGATGGACAGGCATGCATTACATGTCAAAAGTTTCCTGTCTCAGTCTGTTGTTGATCTCTTGCACTGGTCAGTGCACTCCTGGAGAGATTGTAAGGATGTTAAGCAGCAGCTACGAGTCCTAGTTCAAGTTTAAAAACAACAAGCTGCTCGTCAAAAGAGTTCAGGTTCAGTTAATTGCCATGGTTACCAGCAGGGATGTTTCCTCACCTCAGTGACACAGTTGAAGGGGCGGAGCTTGCCTTGATCACCTGACTAATAAATACTGCTGCTGCTGCTGCCGTTGTTGTTCTTGTTTGTTGTCGATGGTAACCCGTAGCAACCAGCCCTCTGATCCCACTTCCTCCTCATCGCTGTTCCTTCCTGTATCCAATGATGCCTTGCAGGAACTGAGGGAGATCCACAGTCGGCAGCAGAGGCAGAAACAGAGGGAGCTGGAAGGAGACATACAGACACTGACACACACACACCCTCACATACACACCCCGATTGAGAGGAAGTCTGCTGAACTGCAGGACAGCAGGTAAGAAAGAAGAGTTATGTCCATGTTATTACATTAGTTAATGACTCATTTTTTGTATTATATGATAAAGTGTTGTTGGTACTTTACAATGTAAAAATAAAGTTTGGTTAATCATTCAATCCATATGCCTCTCTCCCTCTCATCAGGTTGTCATCAGAGGAGGGCGTGGCCTGGAGGGATGAAGCAGTGAGCTCTGCCCCCAACGCTCCCAGCCCCCCCTCCATCTCTGCACCCCATGCCTGGCTAAACAGAGTGACTCAGGAAGAGGAGGACAGGAAGAGGAGAGGGCTGGAGGATGAGGAGGAAGAGGGCAAGAAGGGAGCAGGAATAGCAGAAGAAAAGGAGGATGAGGGGAGAGGCAAGAAGGACATGCAGGAGAAACTGAACAAGCTGTTCAGCCAGCCGACCGACCCCTGGGCCTCAACGGGTGGGTTATAGCTGTAAGAATGTATGCATGCGTAAAAGAGAACACAAGTGACAACATGAGATCCCAAAAGCAGTGATGTGTATTGTGGTAGGTCGGTTTGGTGTTATTAGCGGCCAGTTTTACGTGGAGCTAAATTATTGAACCAAGTAGCATCTTCACTTCGTCCTGGAGTTTCTAGCAGAGTTCAAGCTGGAATTTAGGGTCTGTGGGACACAATAAATGGCAAGGGATGGATTTCAGTGTTCTTACTGTCACACCAACTTATTCAACATAAAGCACAGGCCTTCTCCTTTTTTTCTTCTTTTCTGTCAGATTGATATGTAGAAAAAGACTCACCTGGTTAAGTGACACTGTAGGGTAATATAGCATTTAGCCAAGTTTTGGTGAAACAAAGGACATTTCAGCATCTAATATCCTGTTGGAAAGTGATGCGGGCACAGAGGTTGTCCAGCTGATGTTTAATTCCTCCATTCTCCAGTGTAGAGGATGCAGAGATGGTCTTGCTGGTCGGTGTGGTCAATATTTGGCTCTGACATGTAGGGAAGTATAAGTATACAGTATATCGTTATCGTAATATAAGACTATTATTACAGATATTGTCTTAGATTTTGGATATCATAATATTGTAAGTGTTGTCTGTTCCTGGATTTAAAGGCTGCAGTACAGTGAAGTGAGGTACGTTTCTGAACTTAATAGACTGTTTAAGCTGTTCATAGTTTGCCACATTGTATCTACATTACGGACGATTATTTAAAAAAAATCTCATTGTGTAAATATTTTGTAAAAGCACTGAGAGTCAAGCCTCTCAATGTCGTCGCAATATCAATATTGAGGTATTTGTTTAAAGATAAAAGTATTCTTATGTTTGATTTTCTCCACAATCACGGATACAGGTGGCTGAAATGAGTTTCCTCCAAAGAAGTGTGGCTGGGCTCTGCCTTAGAGACAGGGTAAGGAGCTCAGACATCGGGATAGAGCTCGGAGTAGAGCCACTGTTCCTTCACTCCGAAAGGGGTCTGTTGAGGTGATTCGGGCATCCGATCAGGATGCATCCTGGGCGCCTCCTATTAGAGGTGTTCCAGGCATGTCCAACTGGTAGGAGGCCTGGGGATCCCAGAACACAGGAGGCGGATGGATGGATGGTTTTCTCCATATTGCCCAGCCCCGCCACTGAGAATATGTTGTGTTGGAGTTTGACCAACAGCTGACATGTGATGGTGGATTCTCTCTTTTGATTTACAGTAGAGAAGGCTCCAGTCCCCAGTCTGTTTGACCAGAAAGCACCAGTCAGCAGCTTCGACCAGCAGCAGCAGCAGCCAGTGAAGGTGGTCTACTACAGGGCTCTATATCCATTTGATGCTCGCAGCCATGATGAGATCAGTATCGCCCCCGGAGACGTAATCATGGTATGCATATGCACACAAACGAAGCACGCATGCACTTTCATCCTTCAGCCATTCACCGTGCTGCAAAAACGCGGGAACACAGAAGGACGGTGGTGCAGACTGAGGTCACGTGAGAGTCTTAAGTTTCCACTGTGGCAGTTTAACAAAAGGAAATTTGTGTACAGCAAGTTTACCTAAAATAAGTTGGAATACGAAACACATCAACCCGAGAATTTACACACATACACTAATATATGTGTATACGTGTTGTACGAGCAGATATATTACTTTGTGTGTGAGTGTGTGTTTCTCTTCGACTGTCCCCTCTCTGAAGTTTGTTTTTGTGATCTGTGAGGTGTGTGTGTGTGTGTGTGTGTGTGTGTGTGTGAGAGAGACTGTGTGGTGTGTGCGTATTAACTGTTTGTTCTCTCCTCTGCTGTGCGAACTGAAGGTGAAGGGGGAATGGGTAAGTTCTTGCCCCCGCCCAGTGTTGTGCCTCCACCAATCACAAGCCAGCTTTCATTTGAGCTCTTGCTGTCATTGGTTCATCTCATGTCGTTCCATTGATCATTCATTTGCCAGTGGATGAATGTTGTTGGCTTATTTTAATTTGTATTTTTTAACCAAATCATTCTAATCAGGTCCGTAAATGTTGTTATGCTTGATTTGTTTTCATGGTTAATGTGAAAAGTTCTGAATGTGCTTAACCGAGTGTAAAGCTACGCAGCGTTGCACTTTACAGTTAGACCTCTCTGAGTAAATAAAAGCTACTTAAAATGTAGTCTTTATAACTGTCACTGTCTCCATAATTAAACTTCACATGAAGAAGATGAGCAGGGTTTACATACAAATCACACTGGATGTAAACCCGCCAAGTTTTACAACAAATAATGTAATTGAAAGCAACATCATGGACTTCAAATGTAAATAAAGTAAAAATACTTTATGATTTGTAATGAAGGGGACAACCACAGGTTTTATCATGAGGTTATTTAGAATTATTGAGTGAGACAGATAATTAAGGGAGGTCCTTAACTTGGTTGTTATGATAGAAACAAAAACCAGAACACGAAGTAAACCGTGAACAAAAGTTTCCAAGTTTATGTGTCACTTGTCTCACTTGATTGTTCACTAATTTGGTCATTATACTTCCTGGAAATCAACAGTTGATGCTGCCGCTGCTGTTGTTGTGGCCATTGCTGTCTTTTACACCATCGCTCTGTTGTTATGAATCTGAACACACACACACACACACACACACACACACACACACATCCCTACTGATTAGTGTGCCCGGGTCTGGGTGAAATTGCATACTGACATACTATTCATATTAAGTATGGTGCTAAATTGAGTATGCAGAGCTGACCGCAGTGCTTGTGAATTTTTATGTATGCGTGAAATGCCCAGATGTGTTCTGGATTGGCAAAAATTTATGAGTGTCATACTCAACCGCCTCACAATGCACTGTGGTTCTTTTGATTGTCTGATGGCGGACATGAGGCTTACAGTTTAAATGATAAAGCGCTGGATAAAATAATTAGGATTGGTGGCAAGTGGTCTTAATTTACAGTTAGGAGAAAAGTGCAGGAGCTTAAAAAACACCAAAATCGCCTTACTGTAATGCTGAAAAATATTGAATTAAATGGAAGAGGTCAAGTTGATTTACATTTGTCATGTACATTTTAATTAAACAGTAGCTTGGACAGGTAACGTCGTGAACGACACAGTCCTGTGATGCTGAGAAGACATAGTGCTTGAGTATATGGTAGTGTAAATAGTCTACTGGTAATAGCATATGTAATCAATAATTTAGTGTGTAGTATGCAGTATGTTGGTATGCGATTTCGAACACAGCCCCTGTGTGTGCTTGCACATTTCAGCGTTATCTTAATCCCGCCCCTCTGCTCTCACAGGTGGATGAGTCCCAAACAGGTGAACCCGGCTGGCTGGGAGGAGAGCTCAGGGGTCGCACTGGTTGGTTTCCAGCCAATTATGCAGAACGGATACCCGACAGCGAAGCACCGATCAGCCTGCGCGCAACGGCCTCAGCCACACCCACCTCAGCCCAGCAGCCAATGACCACGCCTCCCCCAGCACCTGGACACACCTCTTCCTCCACGTCCTCCACCAATAGTAACTGGGCTGACTTCAGCACTAAGTGAGTCCTGCTGATGTCAATTTTATCAAAACCAGACGCAGTTTTGCTTCACTGGTGCGTCTAAGGATAGAAAATTAGAGTCTCCCACTACATATTTAATGATTTGAAAAATCTGTTGATTGATTTATTAGCAGCTCTTTTTCAGTGTCACCATTTAGAGTCTCAGTGTGTCCATTTTAAACACAATCTTCGCCCACATGCCTGTAGTGCTCCTCTAATATTTGGGTTGTCTGTGGGCGTATATTTCTAGTTGGCCCTCCAACACAGCCAGTCAGTCAGACAGCGAAGGATGGGACGCATGGCCAACCTCTTCAACCAGTCAAAATCCTTCACTCAGTGTTCCCTCAGCACAGCTCCGACAACGCTCTGCCTTCACACCTGCGACCATGACGACGGGGTCCTCTCCTTCTCCCGTGCTAGGACAGGTACGAACATAATGAAACTCTGTGAGATGTTGAGTCCTGGACCTTAACTGGATAAATGTCTCTCAAACAACTGGGCCCACCAGAGTAGGTTTACTTGCTGACGACGTACTTTAAGATTATTGAGTTGCTACTGCGTTTGTACATGAACCTTTGAACTGACTGAATGCTGTTCTCTGTTTGTCAGGGGGAGAAGGTCGAGGGTCTGCAGGCTCAGGCCTTGTATCCATGGAGAGCGAAGAAGGACAACCACCTCAACTTTAACAAAAATGAGGTAGATGAGGAATTTCCCATATGAATACTGTACATTGCACTCTCAGGCTGCAGCTTCCTTGTGGGTGGGATCATTAATTTTTAAACATAATAGAACTAATAGTACTGTTGTTGTTATCAATACAGATAATAACAGTGTTGGAGCAGCAGGACATGTGGTGGTTAGGTGAACTGCAGACCGGACAGAGAGGCTGGTTCCCCAAAAGTTACGTCAAGCTCATCTCTGCCACCATGACGCCCCCACCTGGTGCCACAGCACGCAGCAAAAACACTAGGTGGGTCAAAATGTTGCATCAAGTCAAAAAGACTCAATGAATTCTGCTGAGACTGAGAGATTATTTACAAAACTAAAAAACACAGGATCATGTTTCTTCTCCTTCAGCCTTGACATGCTGGTTGGCTTTTGAAGTCAGGACTTCTAATGCTGGTCCGACACTAGAGGATGATTGGAAGGATTTTAGATCTGATTCGTCCCCCTGACAATCGTGGGGGTATTCCTAATTAGAGGCAGATTATCTGCCCAAATGATCGTGTAGTGTAAGGGTTTACACATATAATCTCAATGTTACTGTTTGCGACTTGTTTGAAGAGAGAAACTCACACATTCAACTGTCTCAGATGCAGGTGCGTTGGAAAACATCACCTGAGTCTTTAGAGAGAAAATCCTGTACACTGCTCTTGCTCAGCTTCACAATTTATTAGTTACACTAACGTTTTGGTCCTGCTGGACTTACTGGACTTGAACACTCGAGTCAAGTCATGTTTGATCGCCTGTTTATGACCTACTTTTTTAAATTAGATATCATTAAGTAAAAACACTGAGTGTCTGGTGTATGCATGGTCTCATGATTAAAATATTCAAAATCAGTTAAATACATCGTTATGTTTGTGGTCTTTTATGTAAGAGCATTGCAAAGAAAGATTTTTTCCTTGTCTCTTCTAGTGAATCTGGAGTATCAGAAAGTCCACCCAATGGAAAACGTCCCTCCCCTTCCCCAACAAAACCCTCTGAGTCTGGAGAAGGTAACATACGCAAGCCTGTAAATATACATTATTTGAAAAGTAAGGTGGATAATTGTCATTGACTCCTCGTGTCTACATGCATGTACACAGAGTACGTGGCCATGTACACCTACGAGAGCAGTGAACAGGGTGACCTGAGTTTCCAGCAAGGAGATATCGTCATGGTGACCAGGAAAGAAGGGGACTGGTGGACGGGCATGGTCGGAGGCAAGACTGGAGTCTTCCCTTCCAATTATGTCAAACCACGAGACTCAGCCTCAGAGGTGAGATTTTGCTCAGAAATATGAGGACAAACCAGAACTGCCAGTGTGTCTTTGATGTTTTTACACAACAAGGGAAATATTTGTAATGGTTGTTATTTAAACTCTGTCTCCAGTCTTTGGGACCAGCGGGGAAGACGGGCAGTCTGGGAAAGAAACCAGGTGAGCTTTTAGTTGCCCTTTTTGCAGATGTTACCAACTTGATTCTGTCAAATATACATTTTTAGATGAAGTTAGTAGTTGAAATGTGATGTCAACACTCACATTACAAAGTTAAAGCAATCAGACACTGAACCTGGCTGACTGAATAACATCATCTTCTTCTGTCTCTCTCTGCATCAGAGATCGCTCAGGTGATCGCCCCCTACAGTGCCACAGGAGCAGAGCAGCTGACGTTAGCTCCAGGACAGCTCATCCTCATTAGAAAAAAGAATCCCGGGGGCTGGTGGGAGGGTGAGCTCCAGGTACTCAAGCTTAAACTCTAACATATGCAAAGAAATGTTCACCATGTTGACCTTACATTAAATCCAGTAACCTTGTGCCTATTGCCAGATCCAGCTTAATTACACTACACATTTTGGGGGTAGTCAATTCTCCTTTAAATGACTAACTAAGTGAATTTTATATCTGGATTTTGTTAATACCTAATAATTAAATTGTGGTTGACCTTGGATTATATGGCATATGTTTTCCTTTATATTGTAAGTCATATTTACTTCCAGGAATCCAAATTCTGTTAGCATTTTATGACTGATAATATGCTGTGTTCCGATTGGTTCAGGCCCGGGGGAAAAAGCGCCAGATAGGTTGGTTTCCAGCCAACTATGTGAAGCTGCTCAGTCCCAGCACCAGCAAGACAACGCCCACAGAGCCCACCCCTCCCAAACTGGCTCCTGCCAGCACAGGTACACTCACAAATGGATACACTCACAATACATTTAAAGTCCTGTTTTCCATAATATGCTGGGAAACTAAATGAGGGATTAATAAGTGAGAAAACTTAAATACAACGTAGCTGAACTTGGCAGTGTTAATAACACCTCAAACTTCTTTTAAAATACAGATGCACTCCATCTGTAGCAGCATCTGGTTCCACCACAGAGATGAGATCGACAGCTTTATTAGCTAAAAAGACATTGTCTCTGTAACTGTCACATGTGACCTTGAAGCTGAAATGGTTACATACATAATCTGCGTCCTATCTGTCTCTGTTCCTTAAGCTGTGTGTCAGGTGATCGGCATGTACGACTATGTGGCCCAGAACGACGACGAGCTGGCCTTCCTGAAGGGTCAGGTGATCACGGTGCTCAACAAGGACGACTGTGATTGGTGGAAGGGAGAGCTCAATGGGAGAGAGGGTCTGTTTCCCAGCAACTACGTCAAACTCACCACGGATACAGACCCGAGCACGCAGTGTGAGTACACGCAAACATACGCATCATCGTACACAACATACACAGTGTACTAAAATACAAAACAAACAAAACAAAACATATTAACATTATCTCAGTGGGAATACAAAATACTGTAACACTCACACACAGTCACACTTACTCACACTCTCTCTCACTCTCACACACACACACACACACACACACACACACACACCCCAGAGCCAGGTGTGGAGATGCTGTCCCTCTCTCAGTGTTTGACCCCGGATTGGTTTGGTTTGACCTCTTGACCTTTCACCTTGACACTCCTTTGGGCCTCTTTGATAACCTCCCAGTCATGCAACACCTCTGGGTGGTGTTTGTGTGTGTTTGTGTGGTGTGTATGTGCATGCATGTGTGTGTATATTTGCGCGCATCAGTGTAAAAGTGTTTCCCCTCTCCCTGCATGTGTCCCTTCAGCATGATCCACCATAGACTTAGAGTTTCCAGAGCTGAGCAAAGACACGCTGGCGGTCAACCTTGACTGAACTCGGCGTTTTGACTAATTGAAGTTGTGGGTATTTTTAGCACTACTGAGCCAGAATGAGCCTTTGTACAATATTAAAAATGATGAATCAATAGAGTAGGTGTTAAGAAGAAGGTTTCAGATGTGCAAATACTGTTACTATCGTCGTTAAGTTACTTTCATTCGAATCATGTCACGATAACAGGATGTTATCATGTCATTGTTTTAATAAATTAACTATTAAAAGCTTTTTATAATGGAAAAATGACCAAAGAAAGTTTGAGCAGTTCTTGTTTAAAATTGTATGAAGAGTTTGGTGTAAGACTTGTGTCACACCCCAGTCCAGGCATGTGAGAGTGCAACTTAAGGATTAAATCAGAAAGCAAAAGTAAATAAAAATAGCCAGCAATTTATTGCTAAACACAATAAATATTTATGTTACCTACAAAGTATGAAGCTTTGTGTTCAGGGTGAACCAAAGTCCAAAATATTAAACATAAATATGTCTCTTACAAACAAACAAGGGAAACAAAAAGACAGTACTAAGCCTGAGTCCCTGAACTAAATATAAACAGGAGAAAATGGTGTTTAATGAAAATATATACAAGACATTAGCACTAAAGCTGTGGCTAAAGATGTGTTAACACACACAGAATTTCTAATGTTAAGCAACTGTACAGGAACAACTAGCATTTAAAAACACATCTCTAAAGGAAAAATATTGTGATATTCATTTAAGTCACATCACCCAGTCCCAACAAACCATCTCAGGTTGGATGACTAAAACTAACCTACAAATTAAAAATTAGTAAATAGAAACATCATGTAAATAGTGGAGAGCATTTGATGCTAAGAGTTTGATTTCCTTTGCTGCCATGGGCCACATCAGTGACCAATAATCACTCAGTCATAAAATATTTAATATTATTAATCTGGTTTGATGTTAAAGCAATCACTGGAGCAGACCAGTATACCTACGTGAAGCGTGAAGCTGTCAGCCCAGCTAAGTGATGTAGGTTTTATTTTAACTTTGCTAGAACTTGTCATGAAAAACATAACAATTCAGCTAGTTTGCATAAAATCAAACCAGTTTAAGCCAGTACACCGGACCAGCATAACCGCAACTCGTGGCATAATTTTTAACGTGACACTCGCTGAATCCTTAAATCGGCAACCAAACAGAGAAACATCTGCACAACAATTGTATGCTGTAGCTTTGACTGACTGCCATTTTTAACATCTGGGTCGAGTGCTAGCTCGATGCTAGCTCAGCTATTTAAAAGTGGCAGGTCTCTGCAGGATGTCGCGCAAGTGATTTGGGTTTTTTGGGCTCAGCTCATCTGGAACCTCAACCAAGTTGGTGCCAAAAGAAATACCAGGTTCCAGGCAGTATCTACAACATCCAATAATGGAAAGCCAAAAAAGAGCTAGTTAACCTCAGTAGAGTTGTGCTGTATGACGCAGTGAAAATGCTGCATCAAAGATGGCAACGTAAACAGTCTGGTCACTATGAATTCTTCGCAGCTCTGTCACGCTGCTTGCTGCTGTGTTGCTTGCTCTAGATCCTCTACTTCTATGCTAGGTTAGAGCACACCTCCACACTCTCTGTCTTGCTGCACGCTCCACCCACCTAGCACCTGATTGGTTGTTGTTGTTGTTGTTGTTGTTGTTGTTGTTTTGTTTTGTTGTTTTTGTTGATGTTGTTGTTGTCGTCCTCTCTCTAGGATCATATCATTACCCAGAACCCCCCTCTCCTCAAAGCCCTCAAAGAGACCCACTAGGCCACGCCCACTAGGCCACTCAACCAATGGGACAGCAGCAAGAGGTCACATGACCCGGAAATGGCGACTCTCCACCAATAGAAGCCAGAGAGAGAGAGACAGACAAACAGACAGACTGTAACGTTAAAACGCCCAGTGGTGGCGAGAACTCTGTCTATGCATGGCTCTGACTGGACTTGGCCAAACTCTGTTTATCTAAGGCTCTGGCTCCAAACAGCAGTGTTCAGCAGGAGGGAGATCAATAGTCACTCTCCTCTCCAACTTTCTTCTTCTCTTCTTCTCCATCTTTTCTTCTTCTTCTTCTCTTTCACTTGGGAGGTCTTTAGCTGAGAAGGAGAGGAGATGAGACTATTGAGCTCTTTTCTCCCAGATTGGACTGATGAACATGTTTTTGACTGGGTCACAGTGACTGTACACATACACACACACACACACACACATGCACACACACGCATATCCACACACACATTAACATATATCCATGCATACAGCCCTGTCATAGCGTGGTACAGTGGATAGTGGGTCATTTTGTGGCTTTATGGGAGATTCTGTCATTAGAATCTGTAGCTCAGCTCATCCCGCTCCTTCCTGATTTTTCTTTTTTTTTATTTAACTTGGCTCCCATTGGTTCAGCAGCTTCATTCACCTGTCAGTCAAAAGCACTGGCTCCACCCCAACACCCCTCACTAACCCCTCCCTTCCCACAGCTTCACAGAAAGACCCACTATCTGCTGGAGGACAAGTCTCAATGTCAAAGTCTCCTCTCTTCACCTCTCCTCTCCTCAATGCCAAAGACTCCTCCTTCTTCTCTCCTTCTTCTTTTTTCCCACCTCTTAAAAAAAGGAGATGAAGGAATGAGAGAGGAGAGGAAACGAGGCAGTTTTTGAGACACGTCCCACAGTAGCTGAGTGCTAAGTTTCAACCCAGGATGCAGCTCCCTTCTGTGGCTTATCCAGTTAGCCTTTCCTTTCTGCTCTCTTTCTCTGCTAGGGAAGGAGGCATAGAAGGGAGCGAGCAGCTGGAATGGGACTCAGCCCGTAGAGCTCAGGCCTATAAATGGAAAGCCATGCTTGTAACTGCTTAGCATACTAGCTAACCAAATTACACTCACACACCAAATGCAACATGGTACAGAGAGTTTGGGGTATGCACATGACCTGAAACAGTATGAAAAGATTGCGCACACACACACACACACACAGTGATAATGTTTTTATCCGTTGTAGTTTAACATTCTGAAAATGTATTAACTTTAACTGATCCATTTTATGTTCTGTTGTTGTTTTTGTTTACATGTTTATTGTTTTGTCTGTTGCTATGATGATGATGAGATGCTGTCACACTGTTGAGGGTTAGACCAGGATGATGGACACAGACAGATTTGGTACTAAATATGTAGGAGTGGAACGATTTGTCAGAAAAGATAACTCAATCATGTCCGTCGTCAGATCTTTGAATCATTCCAGTTAAAGGAATATATTTACATTTTGGGAAACGCTCATATACTTTCTTTATGCGTGCTGAATGAGAAAATCAAGACTGTTCATATTTACATAATCGTGTAATCTTCCCATTATTTTCCAGATTAATCATTTTGTCAGTAAAATGTGAAATAACAGTGAAACAGGCAGCGTTTCCAAATGGTGTGTTTTATCCGACCAACAGTCCATATATCCAAAATTCAGTTTATTATAACATATGACAAAGAAAAGCATCAAATTCTCATGTTTAAGATTTTAAAAAACAGCAAATGTTAAAAAATTACTGAAACAATTATTCGATTATCAAAATAGTTTCTGTCATTCGACTAATCGATTCATCAACTAATTGTTGCAGCTCTGCTCTCATATCTGTCTGTTAAATATAAGGCTAGAGCCAGCTCGCAATTAGCTTAGCTTAGCATACAAGCAGAAGCACTTAGAAATGGCCAGCTTGCCTCAAAATGTGCTTAAAACACCTCTAACTTTTTTTTTTGCATTTCTGTTTGTGCCTGGATGAAACCAACAAAATCCAATGTGTTCACTTGTGTATTTTTTGTAAGACGTCATATTTAACGCGCAGACATGAGAGTGCTATTGATCTTCTCATCTCTCACTCAGTGAGAAAGCGATTAGGCATATTTCCCAAAATGGCAAACTGTTCCTTTAGATAGCTCAGCTGTTTTTAGTTGTGGCTCAGTTTCACAAACTCATTTGAGCTTTACCTCTTTGAATTTCCCACACTGTGATGCACCTTTTAAAGTCTTTTAGCTCACTGTCACCAAACTTCATGCACAACAAAAAGCTGTTTTTAAGTTTGCTTCCCCCCTGCACTGCAAAACCTACTGTATCACACCATGCACAATCATTTCACCCCTACGAAGTGTTTGGTAAGGGACAGTGAAACCTGTGAAATCTTAAACTCGCACTAGAAACATCTACACTGAGGCACAGGAGTTTTTTCCACAGCTAGCTCCATCACTTTCACTACATAGCTCTGCTTCTGTAGCCACAGCTTCCTGTGCCACCGATCAAACATTCAGCACTGTTTGTTCCCACTAAATGTCATTAGCTTTACAGCGCTGCTCTGAATCCTGATATATATCATATTTTATCTGCATCATATCACTGATTTAACAAGAATGTGTTGAGGGACAGTGACAGAAAAACTGACAGACAGCATAGCCTCACTTTAAAGTACTGTACATCACCTGTTACCATGGTAATGTACATCCCCGGTGTGTCTTTTGCATCTCCCCCAGCACTATATCCGCCCCTGTGTTTGTTCCCATAGCAACAGACTAGTGTTATAGTGGTTGCCATATCAGATTTGTATTGTTTTGTTTTTGTTTATCCAGATGACAGTATTGTGATTTTTAATGTTTACCCTCAGAAACACAAACGACAAATGAAATGATTATTGAACTACGCAACTTTTTATACAACAAGCAATAGAGTTGTTATTATTATTATATTATTAACCTGCTTGGATCCCATTGGCTCCTCGGTGTGTCAGTATTGGAGGTGAAGGTCTCTGATTGGATGATGAGTTAAAGACCATCGGTTAAATAGAACTGAGGCCCAATTTTCGGTTTGTTTTGGGTCCTCAGGAGACAGAAATATGAGCAGGTTTTTAACAGATCCTGTTTTTTTGTCAATTTGGTAACCGATGGTCGAGACTTCTCACAGTCAGAGAAAGTATTTTAGGTTAGAACAAAGACCCACCTCGACCAGAGCTTTGCTCCACACCCGCTGGGTCGATATTATCATAACAATGCCTGTTACTTTGTGCTAACACCCATCTGCAGTCAGTTTTTGTCCCTATTAGCATTAAGTTCAAATCAAGTTTGGGACTCGCAGAGCTGCAGGTGGAAGCGACACATACTCTGCATTTATAGAGTGAATTTATGGTGCAGCCTAAGCTACAAACTGGGATTTTAACATTTATGTCTTTTACCATTTTTAACCAAACGCACACTTTGCTCAACTCTGCTCTGGAGCACTGCTCTGGTCCGGTTGGGTTTGTTTAAAAAATGAATCAATAAAAGCTCTGTATGATCTATAGTTAATCTATTGAATGGTAATGGTTGATGCTTCATATGGATTATAAATAGAAACTCTGATGAATGGACAAATGGATTAACAGCCAAATGTAATTAGACTGCACTCAAGTGTCAGTGAGTGAGTGAGTGAGTGAATGAGTGAGTCAGTGAGTGAGTGAGTGAGTGAGTGAAAATAAAGCATGACTGAGCAGTGTTATGGACACGAATGGTCAGGCGGATACACAAAGGAAAGTAAAGGATACTTGAATGAATGAATGAATGACATGTACAGAATGTTAGCATAGCATTGAGAGTAAAAATGTCCTGAGGTTTTATTGGTGGAGATTTTGATGAAGCGGTTAATCTGACTGGTCCTGATGATTAAATGCTCTGAGACAGACTGGAGTCAACTGGCCTCGTTACTCTGTCACACACACACACACACACACACACACACAGTTACTCAGACCTGTAATGTACATGATATCTGTATTAAACCAAAGAAAGCATCCTTTTAAACACAATAAATACAATACAATTCAATTAAATTTTTATATATTGAGTTCGTTATTTTTGAGTCATTTTACCTGAAGCTGCATTAATCAATAACTCTGGAGTATCTCTGCAGTTATTTGTGGCTGAAATATATCAAATATAAATAGGCAGTTTTATGAGGTGACATAAATTATGGCTGTACAAAAGCAAAATGCCCCCAAAAATGAATCTGCCCTTTTTCTGAATTCATGACACAATAATCCTGTTTATTCAGGGATACAATAATTAATGAGATAACCACATTAATTCAGAAAAATTGCAAATAGTATTTTCTTAACTGAATGCATTACCCTTCTGTGCTGCTGTGTGTCTGTCAGCTTGTTAAGAAGTAAACGGATAAAAGCATCATTAAAGCTGAAGTGTGGAACTTGTGGTTCTCCCAGTCTGGCAGTGAGAGTAATTACAACACTATCGATCTGCCCCGCCCTCAGGAGGGCTCTCCTGAAGTCTTTTTGACTTCATCCTTTCTCAGAATGCCAAGTTTCAGTGCACCTGCACAGGAAAGTCGCCAAAGTGACCACAATCAGCGTACTGTGAAATACAGAGAGCTTCCCTGGTGCAATAGGCTCTATCAGTGGTGTGAACTTGTTTGGCAAGTGCATGGACTGTATATGCAAAAGTCAAAATAGTCAAAATATAAATATTGCAAAAGCTAAATATTGCAAGTTAGTCATTAATGTAACTGCAGCAGAGCCTGATCACATCTTAGTTTGTTTGTGATGAGAAATTAACTGATTCCACAGCAGCTCTTGAGTTTATAGCAAATTTTAAAAAGCCAGGAGCAATCTTTATTTCTCCTTTTTTGCACTCAGCTTCAAACAATTTCAGGTAACAGAAGTCATAAACCATCATAAATATCTTCCTAATTAGTAAGCTGTTTGTGAGTGACATGTTTACCATTCATAACAGAAGCCCAAATGCCAAGCTTCCCTGTTTAGGTAAACGTTAAAACAATCAGTCTTCTGAAAGATAAAGAATTTCTGTCACATAAATTTTTAATAGACATTGTCTTTAATTTCTACACACACACACACACACACACACACACACACACACACACACACACACTTTAGACATGTGAATCACAGAAATAAACACACAGTTTCCCAGAGCACAACACAGACTCACATGACAGACTTTTGACTTGATCTCAGGTATGTATTTTGTTGGTAATGTTGTTGCTATCATGTGTTTTTTCTTTTTTGTTTTTGCCCCTTCCATGTGTCAGGATGTTTGATTGACAGCTGTGTGTGTGCTGTTTGTATTTCAGGGTGCGCTGACCTCCACCTGCTGGACATGCTGAGTCCCATGGAGAGGAAGAGGCAGGGATACATCCACGAGCTGATCGTCACCGAGGAGAACTACGTCAACGATCTGCAGCTCGTCACAGAGGTAAACACAGAGATACATGTCCATACAGTGTTCATAAATATTATATACTGTATATAGCACAGAATATTTACCAGTTGGGTAGTCTGGAAAGAAATTTACCTCTGAATATTTGCATCCCAGATTGTTCTGTCAGCCTTTCCTCTGCCACACATCACTGATATTTTTCTCTAGTAACTCTTCTGCATGTGTGTTTAGATCTTCCACAAACCTCTGTTGGAGTGCGAGCTGCTGACGGAGAAAGAGGTGGCCATGATCTTTGTCAACTGGAAGGAGCTCATCATGTGCAACATCAAGCTGCTCAAGTAAAGAGAAACAACACCTATCACTGTTACACGCTCATGCACACAGTGCGCTTTGTTTCATGTGGCAGACATTTGCATCTGACACGCTTTGCAAAGCACAAGTCAGCCGTCATCGGCTTTGAAGTTATTGTGATTCTAAAAATAATATTTGCCTTGCAAAGTTCAGCTGCTTGGAACGATGCTGGAAAATAAACCTGTGTGCTGTTTTTGTTCCCTGACAGCCCAACCTGACACAGAATGGCGTATTGTTTTTAAGATTTGCATAAAAGTCAATGAGGGTTGGTTCCAAAATGTAAAGTAATATTTATAACTCTTGTATAAACAAGTTAAATACTTTTATTATACTTCTGTTTAAACCAAACTTTTTCTCGAGGTGTGTTTATCACAGCCATACAGTTGAATACATCAGACCAAACCTCTCATCATGCCCCCTTCTCTTCTCCCCCTGCAGGGCTCTAAGGGTGAGGAAGAAGATGTCAGGCGATCGGATGCCGGTGAAGATGATTGGTGACATCCTGACCAACCAGCTGCCTCACATGCAGCCATACATCAGGTACTATCTGCTTTGAAACCCCACCTTTAATCGATCAGGAAGTCAGTTCTACCTTTAAACAGCTCGAGTTTGGAGAGGATAACTTATATTCTGAGGTTTAATGTTCTAAGGTCTGAGGCCCATTTACCCAACTGGGTGAACGTTGATGTGTCGGATATGCTACGAAGTGATGACGATGGGAATCCATGAGAGATCTGGTTAACAGTTGGAGGGCGACACGCAATCACTGCACTTTACTTTACCAAATATGGCACATATGTCTAGTTATGTCTCCGTGCCGGCAACAGCGACGGCCAGAGGCATTATGTTTCCGGGTTGTCCATCCAACCGAAATGAGAAATCTCGAGAACACCTTGAAATTTGGCACAAACGTCCACTTGGACTCATGGATGAACTGATTAGAATTTGGTGGTCAAAGTTCACTGTGATCTTGTGTCCATCTCATTCTCAAGAACGCGATATCTCAAGAAGGCCTTGAGGGAGTGTCCACTTGGACTCAAGAGTGTACAGATTACAATTTGCTGGTCCAAGGTCAAAGGTCAATGTCACTGTGACCTCACAAAACATGTTTGTGGCAATAACTCAAGATTTCATGTCAATTATCAACACTAATGTCCAATAGAAAACAGAAATGAAGTGATGACATTTTAAATCTCAAAGGTCAAAGGTCAACTTCATTATGACATTATAATATTCTGCAAGAACACTTTCTTTTTACTCAGCGTCATATCTCAGGAACAGAAGGGGAGACATTTGGTCAGATACTGAACTGGTGACACTAATCTTGATGCCCACCAAACTGTGCTGATTGTGTAGATCTTCTATGCTGATGATGTGTGTGAAGCAGCCATGTTTCCATAGACATGGATATAAACTTTATGTACAACTTAATGGGTTCACATCACGTTCAGTTTTTTAATCTGAGGATAAATACATGAATAGCATTGAGCAATTTTTCCGGTGAACGTCTCTGTGCTGCTTTAAAGTACCTCTTAAAAGGGACAACCTCTAGCTCACCTGGTAGGGTGTGTGCCCCATATAGGGTGAATCCTTTTAAGCGGCTCTGGGTTCAGTTCTGACCCGCAGCCCTATGTGTGTCATCGCCCCTCTCTCTCCCATATGTCCTGACAATCTACAGCTATCAATAAAGGTGTAAAAAAAATCTGAAGTACCTCTTGAACTGATGTGACTATCTGAACTTTCTAGAATAATGTTGCTCCTGCCAATTTTTTTTCTGTCTTGTTTTTGCCTCTCTTATTTATACTTTTGATGTAAGTCTGTGTAAGTTATGTCTTGACTTACAACTATGATGTTTAAAGAGAATAAACATGCAGTGTAATAAACCGCCTGAGTTTTAATGTACATGTTATTGTTTTTTTATTCTTTTATCAACTTTTGTGTTCAGATTCTGTTCGTGTCAGCTGAACGGAGCCACGCTGATTCAGCAGAAAACTGACGACAACCCTGAGATCAAAGACTTCCTGAAGGTACAAAATACACACACACACACGCACACACACACACTGTACTTTCTGACTGAGATACAGAGGTTAATGTTTATTTTATTAGAAGACTTATTTCACAGCAGCTCCATTAGGGACTGAGGTTAATCTCCATAAGCACCAAATTATAAACTAATATTATTATAATGATCTATTAATTAAACATTCAGCATTAGTTTTTGATGATCCAGCATATTATTGAATATTTTTTCTAATACTCTCTCTCTCTCTCTCTCTCTCTCTCTCTCTCAGAGGTTAGCCATGGATCCCAGGTGTAAGGGGATGCCTCTGTCCAGCTTCCTGCTCAAACCCATGCAGAGAGTCACACGCTACCCACTCATTATCAAGAACGTATGTATGGCACACACAAACACTTCTGACATGCTCACATTCAAAGAGATGACGTGTTAAGATCATTTGAAATCATGGTGCCAAATGTACTTTGAGTTTCCTCTTTCTCATCTTCATGTCTGTTGTTATTGATTATAGATCTTAGAAAATACTCCAGAGTCACATCCAGACCACAGTCATCTGAAAGCTGCTCTGGAGAAAGCAGAGGAGCTGTGCTCACAGGTGAACACACACACACACACACACACACACACACACACACACACAAACATAGAATCTTTCGGATAAGATAAGGTAGAACTTTATTTATTCCAAGGTAAATTGTAGAGCATCAGTTGCCGTAAAAAGTAGGAAGGAGTGCAAAGATGAATACAGAGCATTATTAAGGTGCAAATCCAAAATGAAACAAAAGTGTCCCCACGATGATGAACACAGTGAAAAACCTCCACAATGTACATTCAACTGAGCTACAAACAAACAGTGAATAAGAGTAATTTATGAAAAGAGTGGGGAAAAATGAGAGAAACTGTCACTGTCTGGCTGATGCTTGTACAGCTATAGAACTGATTGTTGCAAAAAATTGGTCATTCCCTACTTAAAATTAAGTTTAAGGCAGTTACAGCCATACAACTTCTACCTGTGCCCTCTTCCTTTATCTTTCTATGTTAACTAATACGTAGGAAAATCCCAAAATATTTTAAAATTAAGAGTATAAGTGTATATTTGGTTAGTAATTTACATTAAATACTAGAAAACAAAGCTTTGGATTTATGCATGTCTGAGGTTATAAAGGTAAAAGTCTGTTTTTACAGTATGTAAATGCCTTATCTTCTATAATAATTGTATTTTTTAATGTGCAAACAAATGCGTAGGTAAAATGAACACCCACACAGCCAACTAGAAAATAACTGAATGTGTCTGTGTATGATTTTCTGTTTTAGGTGAACGAGGGCGTCAGAGAGAAGGAGAACTCAGATCGTCTGGAGTGGATTCAGGCTCACGTCCAGTGTGAAGGATTGTCTGAGGTAACTGCAGCACATACACGCACGACCAAGAAGCTTTCCAGACATTGTTTGCATTGTGTACTACTCACCAGCTACACATTTACAACACAGATATTAAACTACATGTCTATGGTTGTCCATACACTTCAATGATAAACAAAGACCTGCAGAGTGATTAAGGGATCACCTGACCAACTTCAACACAGTAACACATGCAATTATTACGTTACTTATTATTATTAGTATTATTATTTATGTTTAGCCTTAATCTGTACAGCAGTGGTTGGGTGTATTCACATGCTCTTGTGCCTGCTCTTAACACCTAGTTTAATAGAACAATAACAACAAAATAATCAATAGAACGTGTCACTCTTGACTCTGGTATCATCATGTTTGACATTTTATGGACCAAATGATTCATATAAAATAAATAAATAAATAACCAACTTGTCCCTCTTTGTCCTTCAGCAATTGGTGTTTAACTCCGTCACCAACTGTCTGGGTCCCAGGAAGTTCCTCCACAGCGGGAAGTTGTTTAAAGCCAAGAGCAGCAAGGAACTCTATGGCTTCTTGTTCAATGACTTCCTGCTGCTGACACAGGTGATTTCATGCTGCTTCATACACACACCTCACCATATTTCAGAGGGAATATTGTACTTTTTATTCCACTACATTTATGTTACAGCTTACTTTCTACATAAAGAATTTTAAAAGATTTTAGAAGTCTGATTTTTCTCTGTCATCATGTGAATGGGACCGTACCAAAAGTTTGAAGTACAGAAGTACTTCACTGTATGTAATATATAGTAGAAACTATAAAACGATTTTTAGATTGTTGCATGGAATATTTCTTCCACCCCTGGTGACTGTTTGTTTTGTAAGCACAGTCTAATCATCACTGAAACCTTTTACCTCTCTCTAAATCCATCTTTCTCTTTGCCCCCTCTCACAGGTGACCAAACCTCTGGGCTCGTCAGGCTCGGACAAAGTCTTCTCCTCGAAAACACACCTGCAGTACCGTATGTACAAGACGGTAAGACGACAAGCACGCTCATACACAGATGTATGTTCACGTGCTCTGCTTCTGTTTGATCAGGCTCATCAACAGGTCCTTAACTCCTGAAGTAAATATGTTGATTTTTTGGTCTGTTGTGGTAAATTGCTAAAACTTTGGATACCTGCAGATATTTGTACTGTGTTTAAAGTCAAGTATAATTTATTTAGAGTACACCAACCTCCCTTAAATGTATCTGTACTCCCTACATGACTCACACTTACTCACGATAACTGAGCTTTTCTTGTCTCTTTCAGCCAATCTTTCTAAATGAAGTCTTAGTGAAGCTGCCAACAGACCCATCAGGAGATGAACCTCTGTTCCACATCTCTCACATAGACAGAGTTTACACACTCAGAGCCGAGAGTATCAATGAAAGGTAATATGTACGCATGAACAGACACATGCAGTACATGATAGATGCAATTGTTTTTTTTTTTTACAACCTGTCTTATTTTGTTGTTTTTGCTGTCATTCCTGACATTTGTGATGATATTTTACACACTGCTGCTGAGGTCTTGAATTTATCTGCTTTATTTAAAATGTCTGCAGTCACTTTAAAAAGCATGTATCTTTGTTTGTGTGTGTTTATGCAGGACGGCGTGGGTTCAGAAAATCAAGGCAGCTTCAGAGCTCTTCATCGAAACGGAGAAGAAGAAGAGAGAGAAGGCGTATTTAGGTATCTCTCCTTATTATTTTACTCCATCCTGAATGTTTTGTTTGCATAAAACATTTAAATAGTCAAACTGAAATGAATTTCTCTTTGTCTCAGTGCGTTCTCAGAGGGCTACAGGTATCGGTAGACTGATGGTCAACATTGTGGAAGGCATTGAGCTAAAACCCTGTCGCTCCCATGGTACGTTCACACTCCTTTTACTGAAGTTTGAAAGAGAGAAAAGGCTCGTGTTTCTCCTGCTAAACCAAAAAATGCTTATTAGTGCTGTGAGCATCTCTGTTTGTAAAACCCTTTACTGGGGCCTGGGGCCAGTGATGCTCATTATTATTATAATGTTGGATGTAAAATGCTACATTTACCATAAATATACAGTCAATATACCCAAATGTCACCCATAATATAACATACAGTAGATTCTGTTGAGGATCAACAGTTAAAAGTCATTTAACTTGTCTGTTTGTGGTTGACTGGTAAAAGAAACAGATGTTATATATGTACATACACTATATATAAATATCTTCTTGTCTTTATTTGCAGGAAAAAGTAACCCATACTGTGAGGTAACCATGGGTTCACAGTGCCATATCACAAAAACATTACAGGTATGACTGTCGTTACAACATTTACCATCCATTTATCATTTCTGTTTTTATTTTGTGTTGTTATTGTTTGTATATAGTGCTCATAATATTCTCTCATGTCCCATATTTCATTCCTTTTTCTCACACATTTGTGCAGCACTGTTGGATACATTTGTCACTTACTTTTAGACACAATCCTCATTTTAATAAATGTATAAAGTGCTATATTTTTCTTATATATTATATATATATATTATTATATTCTTATATATTCTTCTTTAAGCCTATTTCATCTTTATTATTAGCTATTTTATTTTGATTTTTATCCATTTATCTTTATATTTATGTTTTTTATCCATATTATTTTCATTTTCTCTTTTTTTATCTTTTTATCTTTTTTGTCTATTTCATCTTTATCTGTTATCTAGTCTTTATTTAATCTTTTTATTTTTATATTTTATCTCATTTTATTCCTATTGCAACTTTATAATTTGAAAATATCTTAAGTATTTGTATCAGATCATTCATTTTGCTGCTGTTCTCTCTCTCTCGGTGTAGGACACATTAAATCCGAAGTGGAACTCCAATTGTCAGTTTTTTATAAAGGACCTGGAACAGGACGTCCTCTGTGTCACTGTGTTTGAACGAGACCAGTTCTCACCTGACGGTCTGTCATAATCACACACTGCCTTTTAAAAGATGTTCTCCAGGAGAGATAAATGGCTTTATTTTACAATTCCATCACACATTTTGTCTTCGACTTTCTCCCCCTCCAGACTTCCTGGGCAGGACAGAGATCCGGTTGGCTGAAATAAAGAAGGACCAGGGCTCTAAAGGACCAATCACGAAGCGGTTGCTACTCCATGAGGTTCCCACGGGAGAGATCGTTGTCAGGCTGGACCTCCAGCTGTTTGAGGAACCGTAAAATACCTGGACAGGATCATACTGGACTGGACTTGACCAGACAGGAACCAAAAGATATGATGTGGACCTCACAGCTGGGCTGGATTAGACTGGACTGGAAGACTGGATTCTCTTAGTTTGGTCTGGTTCAGTTTCTTCCACGTTGTGTATGTTTAAGGAGATTGGCACATTTAGCTGAGAGAAAGTATCAGTGTACACACTTTACTTTTTAAATTAAAAGGAAAAACACTGAATATTTAGTTAATTAGAAACAGCAAGGCCCCGAATCCCAGACCTCTAGGGACCCCAGATTCACATTTGCTTTTTGGTAATTTGATTAATCTTTTCATCTATTATACAATATACACTGGGTCCTGCTTTATTTCACCAACTTGGAGCACTGTTCTGTGTCACAATTGAGTTGTAACTCTTAATTGCTTTAGTGTATATTGTGCATTTCATCAATTTACCACGAATTTACTGATAAACAGATAATCTTGGCTGGTTGGTCTCTGTGGGACCCCCAACAGGTTGATCCAGCCTTGAGAGTGCGTCACAATAATTTGTGAAAAGAACAAAACATTGCAGCTAGCCTCGCTGCTGCATTTGATTATTTAATTAGACTGGTTTTGTGGAAATCTTAATCATCTTATTTGCAAAGTATCACAGGCATTTAAAACAATGATGCAGTCTGAATGCAGACAGTATGGGGCAATGGGACAAATTGTCCTTTTTAAGTACAATACTATTAAAAAATCCTTGCAGCTTTAGTGGTTTTGCACCACATTTGTTTGAGTCGAGACAGTAAGTAAAGAGCTTATTATCTCAATTTCAGACTACATATCAGCTTTCTGAAATCAGTATTGTACCTAGAACTGGAGGTCTGGAGTTTCTTCACATCTTAAATGTCTTAAGTACATCTGTCCATCCTAAATTTAGTCAAACTGGTCTTAAAAATGTAGCTGTTTTCTAGTTAGAAATTGTACCAGTTAAGCACTGTACTGTGACAGAAGAACAAGCTGTTCTCATAATGGACTCCACGGAAAATCCAAGTGTCTGTTTTTATTCCAGTCCAGTCCAATCTCCGTCTGTCCTCCTTCAGTCTGGTCCAGTCCAGTATTTAGTCCAATCTGGTTCACTTTGATTTTAATCCAGTCCAGTCCTCTTGGAGATCGGCCGGGTCTTTACAGTTTTCTCTTCCACCGCTTCATCAGACAGTCTGACAGACACTCCAGTGACAATCCCAGCCCTCCTTCTGAGTCCCAACAAACCCCTGTGTGTGTTTGTGTGTGTGAGTGTGTGTCCATGGGTGAGTGTGTGAGCAACAGACAGCTGGTGTGAATGACTGTGTGAGTGTCAAGGTGGACAGGCTAATTAAAGGTACGGCTCATTGTACATTTTTATTTTGTTATTTTTTATGTCAAGTCTTACATCTCTGTCAGAGTGTTTTGATCATCTCCTGAGGCTCTCAGCTGCGAGGGGACTGCATGTAAAGGGACCTTGCTATTTTGAATTCTAGTCTGTTTTGACCTTCACTGAACACTTGCCACGTTATCACAGAAAAAGCTAAATATGTACAGGTTTAATGAGAAATGCTAATGATGCTAATAAGCTGAAATTTATAGAAAGATTTTACCCCATTATATGACAAGTGTCCAGTGTAAATTATATCAAGATGTCCCTTTCACATGTATCAGTTATGATGATGCTGATGATGATATGGCTGAATTAGAGGCACACGGGTGCGACAGCTAATTTAAGTTGAGGTACTGTAAAGAAGAATGTCTTAATTTCCTTGTTTCTGTGATGCACACGGGGGTCGTAGTTTTAGGTGATTCTTGTCAAACCTCTGTTGTTATGTTGCTGCTGTGTGGAGCTGTCACAGTGGCCGTCACTATGCAGGGGAGGAAAAACCCTGAAAGAGTCGCGGGGCCCAGAGCTGGATAGGGGCCCCAAGAACATGCTAGGTACTACAGACACGTATTTTATAGGTACAGCCTTTTAGACCATTTCCACACTCTAACCCTGAGGAAGCTCAGTGTAAAACAAAATAATTTTACTGTGCGTCGGCACTCCCAGCACTTTTAAAACACAAACACTGTTGCGGATATTAGAGCAGAGCAGGATACGACTGACCAATGTTGCACAGTGGCCATTTTGAATAGTCAAAGAAGGAAACTAGATAAAACTTAACATATAAAATTGTTCATGAATATACTGTATGTTTCTTTTATTTAATGGCTCAGTAGTCTAAGCACTGTACTTGTAAGCAAACATTACGCAAATAAAGGGAAGTAGTGCATTTGTTGAGGACTATTTTCAGCAGCAGACTGATTCACATTTGGTGCTCTAGTGAGTATTTGGGGCAGGCGGTGTATGACTGTTTACACTTGGTTTTAAAATGTGTCTTGGGCAGTCAGATCACAAGTGCACAGTGCGGGATGCAACTGTAAACCGCAGACTGTAAAATTTTGGACGTAGCTACCATTATGTCACCCATTGGTTTATGGACTCCCGATTTGAAGCTTCGAGTTCGGCATTACGTATGTCACCAATTTGTTTTTTTTTTGGAGCCAGAAGTGACCACATTTAGGCAAGAAGCTGGGGCAGTGGTGGAGCGAGGGATGGTGCCCTGAGCAGCTGCTCAGTTTGCTTATGCGCCAGGCCGGCTCTGTCGGCAGGATTGAAATCTGCACACAAGTGGAGATGCTTGTAAAAGACACAGATGTGAACAGCGATGTGTGACGGCTGTCCAGGTGTGTTCAGATAATAGACACACATTTTAAAACCGAGTGTAAACAGGGTCTATAATGAATTGAAACAAAATAAACCACAGTGTGTGTTCATGGTAATGAAGGAGTATGTCACAGAGTGGTCATCGAGTTTCTGGACAACAGTGGATAGAAATAAGATATATACACAGACATATTAGTAGAATCAAGGAAAAATAGCACATCATCGGCCTCATCCTTTAAAGCTTTTTTATTTTTGCTTTAGTACATTAAACTTAAGATAACCAATTATGAGAATAGAAGCTATAATGGCTGCTTAAATGCAGCAAGGACATTGGCTAGCTAGAGAGCTATTTAAAAAAAACTTCTGGTGCCTTTACATGGGGCTGTGTCAGCTTGTTCATGAGAAGGTGCCAAATAAAAGGCTGCACAAGTTGTGATAAAGGCTGACATGTCTTTAAAAAAATAGTATAGTGGAATTGTCACCTGTCATGTTCTTGTTCTTTTACAAAAGGGCAGCAAAGATGAGGCATCAAGAAATTTAACCTCTTAATTTTGAAGCATATCATTCACTTGATTTCCTTTGATGAAAACACAAACTCAGGAGTTACTTTGAAGGCAGCGTTAATCTTCCCCACCATGAGTATTCAAAATGGCCGCTGCATTAGATAACATTGCCAGTGCATTCGTTAAGCAGAGCTGTAGTTCGTTAGTTAGCTAGCTACTTGGCCAGTTAGTGAACTTAGTTAGTCATTTCAATTGTATGCCAAGGTTACTGAATTACCACTGAGACAACCAATAGTTACCTTAGTGACCAGCCACTGTCCAATCAGAAGTCAGCGAGGCTCAGCCAGTGGCAGCAGCTCGACTGTGGAGGAAGAATGTTTGTGTTTCCCCAGACTGATGATGATGATGATGATGATGATTAAGAATGATGATGAATTTGTCTTACATCCCCGTCAACCCCCTCCCCTTCCTCCTCTCCACACTGTACTGAAACTAATCCAGTTTGAACCCGTTCTTACTGTCGGCCTTCCAGGTTGTGTATAATACTACTGCTATCTGAGAGTTAATATATGAGTGCTACGGGGGGCGATAGAGACAGCCTGCTGTTAATTATCACTGTAGAAGATGATGTACGTTGTTGTCTTTCAATGTTCAGAATAAACTTCAGTTGGACCAAGACTGCAGCGTTCGATATTGTCCTTCATATGAAACATATTTAAGAAGGAGACTTCTCTTATTCTCAGATTGAATGTCATGAAATCTTGTCCACATGCCAAACAAGTTGCAAACCACTGGGCCACATATGAAAAAGCATTCAAGCTTTCTAAAGCTTTTTATTGTTTTGCTTCACGTGATAACACATTTATGAGTGATTGGGTTTGCATATATTTTTGCACAACTTAAAATCGAGCAACAGGCATCCAAATAAAAAAAAAAAAGATCAACATATCAAAAATATTTTTAAGAAAAACAATTAACAGAAGTGTTTTTTTTTACATGTTCTGCAAGACTTCGAGCAAGATGAAAGTAGAACTGAATGATTCAAAAGAGATCTTTACCTTGGCTATGACATGTTTGTTAATATGAAGATCGGCTGACCTGACTGTCTGACAGATTAAAGGGTGGGAATGATTATGATAAAGAAAGATTTAAAGCAAACATTTTCTCATTGCGGGACATGCTCAGCCCCTCATCATTTCACTTCAGCCTGATGACACTGACATTTAAGTTATTCAGCAGTTCAGCTCTGCTTGTTTTGCTTTGTTGTGACTTTGTATGTTATAACATTGCAAAAGCAACAAATGACCCATTCAACATTTGTATGTAGGGCCCATCAGGGTGGTAAATGGGCTGAAAAATGGGCCCCCAATGGGACTATTCACAGGTTCCACATAACCCCATGCCAAATGTCCACATGGGTGAGTCATGCTCGTGCTGCGTGGGCACCAACAGGATATGGGTCCAAAATAGGCATCTTATCTAGGGCCCACTTGGATAACCCACCCATGTGGGCAATTGGCATGGGGCCAATATGGAACCCATGGACAATCCCACTGGGGGCCCACATGGGACACACACACACAAATGTTGGCTTGGAGGCAGGGAGTCTTTCTCCTCTTGTTTCATTTTTCAGCTGGGGTCAAATCTGACTGCCATGGCAAGTGAAGCCTGTGGGCCACATGGCTTAAAAAGGAGACTCACAAAGTCTGCATTAAGCTACAGCAGCTTGGGTTTGCACTGTGAACTGAGAAAGTGCCATGCAATAAGTATTAGGCCTGTAACATAGCCTACTCCTGTTCCAAACCTCTCAGTTCAGTTTGGGAACAGTCCTTCCTATCAGCATGGATTCAAATGTGAGGAAGTGTAACTGCTTTGGCTCTGTGGTGCTGGCACATGCAGTGAAAGGGGGGCGTTGTCTTTATTGTAGCAAATGTGCATCAAGTCAGACAGATTTAGGCATTAAAAAAACCGGAATGAGGCCAATGTGTCCTTCAAAATAAAAGCGTCTTCACTGGCGTCACTATATTGACAACGTACTGATCTACAGTTGTGGAAAGTAAGTGCGTGCTTTTGCTCCAGTATTAAACTTTAATACCATTTTGAGGTACTTCTAATTTATTTGAGCATTTCCGTTCTATGTTGCAGTTAGATGTTCAAAGTGTCTTTATTAGTTGGCCCACCCAGTGGGTAATTTGTTGTGCACGGAAAATTCAGCATTCCAAAACAGGACGTTGCAACATTTCAGATTTAAAGGACACTAAAACAAAATACATTAAAACAAGTATCATCTACTTTCAAAATAGTATCAAAGTATAAGAACTCCTACAAGTAGCTATCATAGAAGGTCTTAGCTCAGTATTTCAGAAAGAAATACTTTTCACTTCAATACATTTATTTTAGTTACTTTCCAAATTAAGATTTCATATAATAAACAGTAAGTAAAATATTTACTTAACTAAACTACCAAAACTATATAAAGTACTTAAAATTGGCTCTTAAAATAGTCTACTAATATTAATACCTATCTATTAAACAGAATTTCCCATTTTAGAATAATGTGTATCATACAACTCTAATTGGATTATAAGATTATCATTGATGCATTAATGTTTACATCACTTTAATGTTGTATCTTGTAAAAGTAGGGTTAATTTCAATGTATTTATATAGGCTACTGCTGCTAGGTTCATACATTTCTCCATTGAGGATAATAAGGGCATATCTTAATAATAATGTAATAAAATTAGTTTAATTGTTGATTAAATTTTGTAAAATTAATATAAATCGCAAAGTAACTGTCTGAAGTAATCAATTCAAATGTAGGATAAAAGTACAATAACCTACTTCCTCTCGTAGAAAAGTAGGCTATTTATCATGTTTAAGAAATACGATGGGGTAGTAATGGAAAAGAATTAAGAAAATACAGTTTTACAGTTTATAGCTTCTTGTTTTCACATTACTAGCCCACTTTAAATTATTCAATAGATGTTACCAATCACTGATATTTATATGATTTATGTTATAGACAAAAAAAAAAGTCCTGTACGAATGATAATCACAATATTTTCTGTCAATCTAAAGGGAAATTACACATCAGTTAAACAGAGAAATATAACAAGATGACCATAATGGAGAGGTTGAAGTATCAATATAACATAAAATGAATATATGAATTAAGAGAACTGGGCCAATAAAATAAAAATTAATTGAGGAAATGAGCAAGGGGCAAAAACATGTTGTCGTTGAGGCTTTTATTTTGATAATCGGGACCGGAAATGTGGTCGTCTTCTTCTGTGGTTGTTGATACCAGTCTGTGGAGGCTTTACATAGAGAGCTTTATGTAACCGCGCTGCTATAAAAACACAGGACGGCTTTACTAAACAAAAACATGCCAACTAGATAGCAAACAAACAAACAAACAAACGGTCAGACGTCATTCAGCTAATCGGTTCAGGTCGACGGAAGAAGATCTTTACCAGCGCGTGCAGATTAGCTAGCTAAATGAGTGCAGTGCGACTCAATATTTGACGTTTTGTGCATTTTTATCAGCTGTTGAAATATAAATTAGTGTGTTTAAAGCGATAAAAACAGAGTAACATTGTCATGGTGGAGGACGGAGAGCTTCAGGACATTTAGTACTCTCCCACAGAGCGACCTGACATTCCTCCTCAACGTGTGCCAGAGACATACAAACTTATTTTACGCAGATATTTTTTATTAAAACAGTCATGGCTGCTGCATTGTTCAGAAGAGGAACAGGATTATGTGTTAGAGTAAGTATATCTCTTGTTTTTAATGTTTGCAGGTAACAGGACTTTCATTCAACTGTGACATTTAATGACTTACTCATGACTTTTCAATACCTTTATATACAAACATGAATAAATTACGTCATATGGTGGGTTTTATAAATGCATTTAAGGTTACTTATTGCATGCTACTCAAACTCTGTTTCCTCAGCTGCAAAATGCACAGTGTAAATCTGCATTTCTCTCGAAGTCAACACTGAAGAGAACAACATGACAGCATGTAAAGAAGTTAATTTTAGAATGTCATGTACATAGTAAAAGTATGCAGCTGGGAATATTTATATATAAAACCATCATTGACTGAACCATCAAGGGATTTTAGTGGACAAACTTAAGATAATGACTATGTAGGAGTCTGTAGTAAAAGCTTTCAGTGTGTTGAATTCCTTAGAATCTAAGTAGCTATTCAAACAAGAAAAAAGTTTGCCATCTGGTGTGAGCATTACCTTGTGCACTTGTGCATCTCCTAACTTGTGTGTGTGCGTGCGTGTCCAGTACATTCACAGGGAGTTGTGCAGAGTGGTATGGAGGCCGCAAACTGCATTGTTCAGCTCCAAACCGTCAGACAGAAAACAACCACGCAGGACACATATCAGTAAGAGAAACACATCTGTCTGATTTTCTGTCAGATTTTTATTTGTAATTCCTCGATCATCTCCTTATTCTATTCATATATTATTCTCTCTGCACCAGTGGAAGAGTAAAAACTGTAAACAGTGGTGAGTAGAAGACTTGCTGCCATGTTGGATTTGCTCTGTACAAAAAAAGTGATCCATTGTCCCACTCATGGCTTTCTCCTTTTAAATGTTATCATCCCTCACACTGGCTGCCAATCAGGGCTTTTAATGTGTCACACACTTAGAATTCCTACGGGAGAACGGCGACAAATAGGTTTCCTGAGAAGGTTTTTTAAGTTAAATTACATTTTTTACCTAGAGTTTGCCTCTTTATCAGGAAATGGGTGCACACAATAAACTGATACAGTCAATCAAAAATGTATTCATATCATTTTGTACAGGCCCACTTGGATATTGCAATAATAATGTGTGGTTATCACAAGATCCCACGGCACATTTGAATTGGCATCACGGCACACCAGTGTACCACAGCTCACCTTTTGAGAATCACTAGCCTAGACAAGAATGTCAGCAAATTAAAAACTAGAAAACTTGATCCACTAGATATGAATATTTCCATAAAGCACATCCAAATATTGCTTTATTGCTAAATCAGACTATCCAAGTATTCTGGACAGGCCTGATATTTTTCTCAGTCTGTATTTTGTCTTACTGACAGAGAAAGCCAAGCCCCAGCCAGCGGTGGATGTTGCTGCACTCCTGGAGCAACTCTTCTCCCAGAGCAGGCCAGGCACAATGCCTCCTGCTGGTAAAGGTCAGCACATTCAGGATGTTGCGTAAAGCTGGGTGTTAGAATAAGGTCTCAGGCATAGAAGGCAACCAACTTAGATTTCCACATTTTTTCTCTGCCGTCACACAGCAGGTGGCAATAATTTGCAGCTGCAAAAAGAGCTGGGTTTGGATTTTGACAGGATCTCTTTAACTCCCCTGCAACAGTTTTGAAATGAAGATTAATTCTGGGAATTTGTGAGCCCCTTCTTTATCCCATCATATTCAGTGGCACTTTTTCATGTCATGTAAATTTCATGGAACGATTTGGACAGCAACATATGAGAAAGCATGACGGACAGCTGAGTTAGCAGACTGTTAATTAATTGAATACCTGAAACGCTGATTAGTTCTGCTTGTGTCTGTGCTGAGTGGTTTTACTTACCCCTCTTCCCTCATATCCATGTCCTTTTATATCCTCTTCTTTCTTTTTCCTCTCCCCTTCCTCCCACAGCTCGTCCTG